AGCATGCTCGCCAAATTTTGTGTGCTTTAGTGCGGCCATATTCATTACAAACATCTGTCTAATAATGGGAATTTTGCAGGAATTTAAGTTCCACAAAGTTCCTTTGGCTTTCAGAGCTACAAAAAGAATTTTATAAGATGTTCTTAGCAACAAGATTTAAAAATAATACTATTTAAGCACCTAGCAATTTATGAAAGTTTATTAAATTATTTTAAATTTTGGTGCAATTTCTTTAACATCAGTTGAAAGGTAAAAGTACGTTTTTTTAATAAATAATAAAATAATAAACAAGGAAAATCAAATTAAAGTAAGGCTTTTAAATTTAAAAACCCTTCATTCGGCTTTTATCTGTTTGGAGTTTTAAATAAGTAAAGGTTTTTAAACCCTTATCAAGTGATTTTTATTTATATATCTATTTTTAGCACATTGATTAAGATATTTCTTATCTTACATATAAAATTAAATTTTTTCTTGCTTTCTTCTAACTTCTAGAAGTTGTTTTATGATTTTTCCTGTACTTAACGTGACATGATCATAAAGCTAGTGAAATCCTATTTATAAGCCTTTATCGTCTGTGCTTAATCGAAGAAGTTAACGGCCGGCCAGAAAGGAAGTCAAAAGTTCGGCGACTTTTCTACGACAGGCAATTAATACGGCATTTACATGAGCGATAGAAGTCGTAATCGTGGAAATTCACGCAATAATTGTCAAACAAAGAATTTTCATCTCGCTCTCTCTTTCTTTCGCTCGTTTTTATGACTCCAAAACTTTGGCTGCATAAATAATAATTTTAGTTTGTTTGAAAAGAGAAATAGAAATGGGGGAGAAGTGAAAAAAGCCATAGAAAGTATTGCCCATTGTTGTGTTTTTTTTTTTTTTTTGGATGTTGTAATGTGCGTGGCGTGGGCAGCGCTGCCCGCGTCTCAGTCGACGCTGACGCACGCTCCCGCATAACAGTCATCGAACGCGTTGCTCTCACGCACTCTCTCCCGCTCTCCCACTCTCCACACGCTCGCTCGCTCTCCCCCATTTGCCCTATCAGATAGTGCGTAAGTGTGCGTGCGTGCGAGTTGAATGACCGCCGAAAATAATTTTTTCCTCGATTTTAGACTTTTACTATGTTGACGCTGGCGATGATTGTGGCTGTGTGAATGTGTGCTTTGGCGCTTCTTACACAGACACAAAGAAAAAAAACTAGTCATACCCAGGGGCGTAAGTAGTGGGGTTCTGGGGAATGCCCTTAGCCATCTTAATGGACTATTTTAGTTTAGAACTGAAAGTTTGCTTATATCAAAAAATATTTGTTATTGGTTTAATCAACTTGCAGATTATTCTTAAAATGATTTTTTTTTTATTTATAACCCTTTTTGGAAATAAAAAAAATTTCGATTTCAAATTCCCATATAAAAATAAGAGACGGCTATAAAATCCGCTCTAAGAAAGTTACAATTCATATTAATCTTATTATAGAACAAAGCGCAATCCCCCTTCTACGCCTCTGACTACACTCACACTTTCTCAGGCAGTCAGAAATTTTGTAGCTTCATAGTTTTTGGTTTTTCGTTTGTTTCGAGTGTTAAACGGGCGTTCGCACTATCTCGCAGGGGCGTTTGGGGGGAAAGGGGGCGGGGCCGGTTTGGGCTTGGGCCTGCATGGGTCGCTTTTTTCCATACATTTCTTTTTGTTTCATTTCGTACGCATGTGTTTGTGAGCGGACTACACAATCAGCCAAAGCAACAGCAGCATTTCACTTTAACAAAATTTTTTTCCTTCTGTCTTTTCTGAATATTTTTTTTATTGTTGCCACTTCTCTCTCTTCCCTCTCTTTTCCTCCTGCCAAGGGCCAATGTTGTCAACTCTTTCGCTTTTTAAAATTTCGTTTTTGGCCGCTTTCTGTTTACGCCGCAAAAATTTCTTTCTTTCACTTTGCCTACGTTTCTATCTGTTTCACAAAAGGAAAGGCGAAAAAACAACGGCGAAACGCAGTGGCAGTAGCGAAAAGTGAAAATCTCAAAAATAAAATAAAAGTTGATTTTGCGGAAGTCATAAAGGCAAATTGCAAGCCAAAAGTAACAGTGACCAGCTTCAGAAAAATAAAACCAACCCCCCTCTCACCCCCATGCAGTTGCCTTAATTACTTACACGCAACTTAGAAAGCAAGGGGATAGATTGCTGCCCGCGATTAAGATTTATGTTGGAAATAATATCCTCCATGTTCCCGGCTAAAACCTTAATTGCAATCGCAGCTGACCCGCTAAGGGGTCAAAGGCCCGCAATTAAATACGTATTAATTTAGTTACGCCTTCTAAGCTTCAAGTCCTACGGAAAAGGGAATTACAAATGTCTTGGTTCCTTTGAAGAAATAAATTCTCTTTTTCCATTAAAAACTATATTATTAGTTTCATGATCGATTTTAATAGAAAAACTAAAGGCAGTTTCTTAGATAACAATAAAATGTCTTTTTTAAATTTATTAATTGCTTTCACAAATATACCATTAACTTAAGAAATATTGAAAATATCTCAAAAACATTTTAATCCCATTCAGCATATATTAATTTATAAATGTGTCTGATTAGATTAAAAGTATTTTGATCGGTATTTCATCACATTAAAGTTGTTTTACGACTTAAGCTGCCAAATTTTTTTCTGCCCAACAAAGTGCCAAAAATATAACCAATTCGATTGTGAAGAGCAAAAAATACAAATCTGCCCAATAACTGTAAAATACAGTGAAAAAGGCTAATTAACCTATACCTACGAGCCAACTCACACTGGCAAACGTGCGATTCATACATAGTAATGTATTTATATGGCTTGTAGAAACTTTGTTGGCATTACAATATCGCCTATATGTATGTTTTTATGACTGGCGCGCGATTTTTAATTCGCAAGTTTCTTTTTCATTTTATTTTATTATGATCTCCTGCTGTACGCTTTTTACGACTGCTCTGTTACATATACAATTTGTATCTTTGTATCTTTTGCAGTGGCAAAGAAAGAGTCGTAGCCTCTCGTCTCTTTCCTGTTCTCTGATTGCCTTTTCGAATTAGTTGAATTGTCAATGCAAAAAGGCAACAAACCACTCGCACACACAAATGCAAACACACGCAAGTGGGTTTCGTAATATTCATTTGGCTGTCTTTCTTCATTTACGAATTTCATGGATTTCCCTTAAATAATTTTTGTGTTGCTGTCCGTTGAGAAACCCAAGTGACTTTCACTGCCAAACCAACGAAAATACAAAAACAACAAAAAAATAAAAAAAAAAAAATAAAAAAGAGCAGCAACTCATTTCGGGACCAACTGACTGACTGACTGAGTGACTCCACTTTGCCACATAAAACAGCAACTTAACTGGATTTCATTAAGTTTATACTTTATTTTGCCTTTGCTGTTTTGTGCAATTCTCTTGTTACTTTTTGCGGGATGAAAGTTCACACTTGTCGCTTACTTCACCTGCTGTCTTTTTAAGCAACTGAGAAATGGCCAAAACAGCTTAAAACATCCTAAAGGACTCCAAGTTATACATAATATAACTCTTGCATAAGACATGTAATTTTTTTGCCTTTATTAAAGCCCAGCCAGTTTATTACAAGTATAATGTGATTATAAGACTGAATAGTTTGTATTGCCAAATTACAAATATTGGGGATTAAATCACAAATATATAAAATATACGTAATTTTATAAGCCCCCATAAAATGTAAAATTTGTATCATACTTATAATTTCCTCTTCTTCCATTTTTTGTTAAAGTTGTTTTCTTTGTTAAAATATTTTTGTTTATTTTTAACACTATTAAGCTTAGAGTAAAATTCAAACTTTGTTTAAGGATTGTGATTTAAACCTGTTATCGCAAATGTGTTTGTTATTTTCTTTATTTTATTTCTTGCTAACTTAATTCTGGTAACCGCTTAATATTATTTTCCCGAGTTTAAACTTTTTAAGGACTGCCTTTGAGTTAAAAATTGTATTCGTTTACCTTTGATGGAACCGCTGGAGTTGTTTTGTCCCGCTGGCGATTGGACGTTGCTTTGACCGAGGTTGTTTGCGTGTGCTTCTAGTTTCGAAGTGACGCTGCTCCACATGTCAAACATACGTTGCGTATACATAATTATTAATGGGAAATGCGAAGCTTTGGTGACGTTTGTAACGTTTGCTGTTGCTGTTGTTGTTGCCGCTGCAGTTGATTGGTGAAATAGTTGAAGCTATAGTTATGTACACTTGGTATCAGTTGTTGCAACCGCTGCTGATGAACACGGGCACACACACAGACGGCCATACGCGGCGTATGCGCAATATGGCTGCTCTTAGCAGTTGAATGAATTCGAATTTCGCTTAGTTTTAAGTTAGTTTTGTTTTGTTTCGGTTTGTTTTTTTTTTGTATTGGGGGATTTGTAAATATGTAAAACGTTGTATACGGTATTTAATATATAGATATATATTTATATACTTTTAATAGCTGCCCTTCGGTTCCAATTGTATTAGCCAATCGTCCTATTGCACTTGGTCTTTACTTAGGTTTTTGTGGCTTGTGTGCTTAGCTTGTCCGTAGATGCTTTTTATGAATGAATTTTCAGCGCTTTTCGCATTCAATGTGAATCAAGAACTATCACAGTGTGTGTGGGTGTTTTTTTTTTGTTTGTGAGACGGGGGGGCCGGGGGGCTGGTGTGAGGGGGGGCTTGCCAATCGATATATATATTTGTTTGTTTGTTGTATATTGCTATATATCTATATGTATGTATATATAATGATCTAACGTTGTCAGGCCTGTAGGTACTAAATTGTTGATGTTGTTTTGGATCTGATGTTATATGTTGTTGCTGCCGCTTAATTATTGGTTTTACTTCTTGTTTTTTTTATTTTTTCTTTATTAAACTATTTGTTAATAAGACACTTGTTCGCGTATGTATTAAACGTGTTTAGTTATCTATCGTTATCGTTTATTTAAAGCAATTTTCTATGATTTGATAATATCTTAATTAAATCGAACGTCCAACTTTAACCCTTTTGCAGAATGTGCAGATTGTTGCTGTTGCTGCTGCTATTGTTATTGCTATTGTAGTTTTTGTTTTTGGTTGCTTTGGGCAGTTGTTGTTGTTGTTGCTGCTGCTGCTGCTGCTGCCGCTGCTGATGTTTTATCACTTTCACTGCGTTGTTGTTGCTGCTTCTTCGGTTACTGTGATTTTTATTGTGTTGCTTGTTGCTGTTGTTGTTGTTGCTGCTGCTGTTGTTGCTGCTGTTGTTGCTGCTGCTGCTGCTGTTGGTTTCTTTGTTGTTACTGCTGTTGTTGCTGCTGCTGCTGTTGTTGTTGCTATGCTCATTGTTTTGTCGATTTCTCTGTTTTGCTTGATTCCAAATCAAAATTTCCAAAAATACGAAAATTTCACGACAATTTATTCCGGAAGACATTTAGGCGCAATCTGTTTCTCATCGATACGAACTGTCGCTGCCTTGGAAACACATTCATCTGTTTTTCAATATGTTTTATTCAGGCCCTCAGCTTGAACACTTTGATGTACAAAATGGTTTGGCCAGTTATGTAAATACTTTTGCTACGCACTGTCAGCCATGGCCAAATCATGGCATTCAGCATATTGCACGGGAATGATGTCTGCAAACGGGGGAAATTCAAACATCAAATCGCACGATCTCATTTAGTTCGATAACCAAAGATCGTTCGATAAGTGCCTAAGTGTGTGTGTGGCTCTATTTTATTTTCACTTATTTTTTATTAAAAAGTTTAGAGGAAACTAACATTTATTTAGATTAGATTTGTCCCATTCAAAGTTATATCCGAACATTAAAGCATAAACCCATCAACCCTTCTTAAAAATGATCACTAATAAGTTTGATTTCAGAAAATGTATTCATTTTTACCTAAATGATAATCAAATAATATTTAATTCCAACATCATAATCGAAATACAGGAAGGAGCATTGATCCTCGCATTAAAACATCAAATCTATCTATTGATTTAACATTAAAACCAGTTCCTGTGAAACAAAATAACGTATCATACTTTTCACATAATTCAATATATGTGAAAAGTATGATACGTTATTTTGTTTATATTTATATAAAACTTTCCATTAATAACCTTTCCTGTTACCAGAAATTAATCAAAATGATTAATGGTATAATGATGAATAATGATATTAAATAAGACTCCTCCACATCATAACAAAATTTACTTTACTCCTTTCAACTTATATTTTTATGCGGCATAAGCCTTATCCCCATATTTTCCCTTTACAGCTATCGAAATTCAGGAACTGTGCCGAACCCCAAACCACAATATATAACCCCTAGCTCTCCCTTTTTCGGTTGGCAACTCCCTTCGGCTGCTGATGACTATATGGACATGAACATGGAAAATCGATAGAGAAATGGGATTTAAGGGTGCCCAGACAGACGTTGGGGTTTTCGGGGAGGGAGGGGTCGGCGGGGCTAATGGGGAAAAACTCTGAAATGCAGCGCATAAATCTCGTCGCCAAGCATAGTGGGTGTGTTCATGTGTGTGTGTGTGGGTAAACATAGAAAAAAGTTCTATGACCCAAAGCTCAAACACACACACAAACGTAAAGAAACGAGCGACAAACGAGCCGGCAAACCCAATGAATATAAAAACATTTTTACTTTACTCTCTCTCTTATTTTTGGGGAAGGGGGTGGGGGCCTGCTTGTAATCACTTTGTTGGTGGTTTGGGGGTGGCTTTTGGGTGGCCATGCGGAAGCCTCTGGCAGACATATAAAATACGTCACCAAAGCGACAGCAACAACACTGAAATTGTGCCAGCTCAGAAACAGAAAGAGACGGGGAACGACGGCGGACAGGGAGAGGGAGAGGGCTAGCGAGAAATTTACATATAGACAAAGCGCAAAGAAAACGCTGAAAAGAAAATGAAAATGAATAGCTGCACAGTGGAAATGAAAAATTCTCTCGCAGCGACAACGAACTTACTAACGGTACTAAAGCTAACGAGCCGGTCAAGCCGATGATGAAGCAGGGCGAAAGAGAAAGAGAGAGAGAGCTCAAAGAGAGAGTGGGTCGGTGAGAGGGGGTGGCGGCCGAAGCCGAAGGCGGTTACAGTTACAACAGCAACAGAGCGACAGCAAAGCAGACGACAAAGTTTACAAGGCAGCGCTGCCGGCGTCGCAGTAGCAGCACTGCTCTGGCTGTTGCTGTTGCTGCTGTTGTTGTTGCTGCTGCCGCTGCTGTTGCCGTCGCAGTACGTTGACGCCGACGAAAAAGACCAATGACCTATGGGTGGGCTCTGCCGCTGCCCCCACTTTTCCGCCTTCTGGGACTTCTGCTTAGGCTGTTTTCCGCTTCTACACGACCAGAAAAACGATAATCCTATTTCCACGTCAAAGTCCTTTCTTTATGATCAAAAACTGTATTATCTTTGATTTTAATAATATAAATATACAGAAAGTAACAATCCGACATAGAATATTAATAATTAAAAGTAGGAATTTACAAAGCACTTTGTGTATAAATCGTCTTTCTATAACATTCGTATAAAAATCTATTAATGATAACTAATCTTTTATGTTTTCCCCTATTTAAAGTACATAAAAAGTGTTGAAAAACTAAAAGAATTACTACCGTTCAGAAGATGTGAAGTCCTCCTTCTGATTTAAGCTTAAAAAAAGTTAATTGAAATATGAGAAAAACTATGTATTACACCTATTTATTTCATTTCAAATCTGTTTCATGTATCTTTAAGAACAAAGCCATCGGCACATTTCTCTTCGTGTATCCCAAGTTGTTGTTGTTGCTGGGGTGGCACACTTATGGGGCGACACATGGAGAGTGCGACTATGTGTGTGCTTAGCAATGTTGTTCCACTAACGGTAATGCAAACAGTCGACTAAAAAGGCAGGAGAGGCAGTAGGTAGAGTCGGCAGAGTCGGTGGAATCGGTAGAATCAGTAGAACCGGGCGGAAAAGGAGGCGCAGAGTGGGTGGCGCTGGCGACGACCGACTTTGCTCTGCTCTGAACTCGCCTGAACTGAAAAGTCGGTGCAAGTACTCGTACTGCCGCCTCTAAACTGCTTCTAACGACAACAATAACAATTGTTGATAATCATAAGTTGCCACAATGGACACAGACACAAAACTGCAGCGCCAACAAAGGGGCCACAAGCTGTGGACAAGAAAAGGGCATAGCATCTCGTGCTTTGTGTCCCGAGATTCGGGCTCCTAAGATCTCCACACGGAGGATGGATGGCGAAGAACGGCAAGAAAGACAATGGACCCAGCGGCACCGGGTAACAGATACTGCGAAACCTATGAAAAATTGCGAAAAGCTTTCTGCTGACAGTTGGCCATGGTTGCTCCAAAATGGGGTGGTTAATTGGGGGAACTATTTCCCATATGGTAAGAAAAAAACTGGCCGAAGGGAGTAGCCGTTGGAAAATTCCATAGATCAGGTCATAACTGCTTTTTTTGGAAAGGACAAATAATATCGAACTCCCAAATTCAATTCACTGAGCCGCCTTAAAAAAGATAATTGTTTCACTTATTCCTTTTTTTTTTGTGCAACACTTTTAAGTAATTTTTTGAGCTTATCAAATGTTGTTGTTAAATACATTTATCTTCAGCAAGTGCAACATTACCAAATCAAACTTTTTTATAGTTCATATAAAAATGCACAAAATCCTATTGAAAGATAGGCAGATTTTAAGTGATACAAATATTTTTAGTTGAAGTTTAAAAAGTGGCTTTAGTTACTAAGTTAGAATTACTCTTTAAAAATTAAAGTTTGGTATTAAACCAAGCTCGTTAAGCATCGTTAAATTTCTTTCCAAAATTAAACTGCATTTAGCTTGCATTTGTCCGACTCAAATAAATGCCTATAAAATATCCAACTATTCAATTAAATTTCATTGCAACGTATATAGTTATTTCGGTATTAGACACGTGTACCTAATAAACACCAAAGTGCCAGAACAAATGTAAAAACAAACAATCCTAAACGATGTCATAAATTTCTGTTTCCCAATCATTAAATCCCCGATCGTGAGATATATCCGAAAACTGTTGGTTAGCTATCCAATTAGAGGCAAATAGATTATTCCAATAAATTATCCAATTTGCTGGCGACGAAGGCTGCTTTCACCAAGTTGCGATGAAGGATTTTCTTGATGGGTTTTGATTTTAATTTTTTGGTTGATAATATTTTGATATCCTTTTGGCGCACACACACACTTTGGCACATTGAAAATACACATACACGGAGATTGGCTTTGTTTTTGTTGCACAATATCGAGGGTGAGGTTGTGGGAGGGATTCTCCTGGGTTGTTTTTAGGAGTATTACGTCACTGGCACTTCCGTTTCCGCTTTTTAAGAGAGGGGCGCGCAATTGCAGTTGCAGTTTTAGGCACGATGTGGAATTTGAATGCACACGATATTGATTGATTGACTGGTACTGTATATATATAGCGATATATGTAGGCGTATCCTATGATTTTGTTTTGATCTGAAACCGAACAAACTTCATCTGCCGCCGCATGTTGCAAGGCTTAAATTTATATATTTATTTTCTTTATTTGTATTTTGGTTTCAACACACTTTTGGGTGGCACACACTCGCGTTTCGAAGTTTTGCCTTTTTGAGTAATTTTTTATATACTTTTCGGGGGGTTTCTCCTCGGCAGAGTGGGGGGTGGTGAGGCGTTTTGAGGGGGGGCTGCGGGGGTCAAAACGCATAGGCACACGCACACACACACACACGCACGCACGCGACACACGGACAGAGCGATGGGAAATAAAACGGTACAGAGTATAAACAACAACAACAAATAATTAATAATAAAGATACAACGCGCCACGCATCGTAACCCGCCGCCGCGAAACGCTCAATACGAGGTGTAGCTGAAGAGTGCCGCAAAATGTTATCGAGTGTTCGTTGTCGTCGTGCGGCGGCAGCGACGCCGGCAGCGCAGCCGCAGCCCCTCCAATGCGGCAGCTGAGCTCCCCAAAGAGAGAGCCCAAGAGAGAGCCAGGGAGTGAGTGGGAGATAGAGAGAGAGAGAGCGGCGACGGCGGTGTTGGCAGTGGGTATATGTGTCTCTGTGCCGATGACTTCTTCAGTTCGCTGCCCCAAACCCCCTCCGCCCCCCTCTCTCAACCCACCCATTCCACTTTTGCCTCGTCCGCTTTGGGCCGTTCGTTCGCTATGGCAACCGCTCTTGGCATAATCAGCTGTTATCACTGGGGCTCTCTCTTTCTGTGCCATTTGGGCTTCTCTTTGGCTAAGAGAGAGTTCGGGAGCTTTTGGCGCTTCCTTCAATTAGCAGGTCAATTGCTTTTTAGGCCAAAATGTGTGCACTGCAGTTGCCAGCAGTTTAATTGCACTTCTTACTTTTGAACGGCCGACTTGGGCAATTGTTTCAAACGCTTTTTTCGGGCGGAAGAGGAAATTGTCCCTAAATTACACCGCTCAAGTCCTATCAACAAGCCTTAATGATTGAATAGGAAATGTGGGTCCTTTCATGGTACTGATACGAGTGATTTAAGCTTGAGTTTCATGACTAATTTGGTGCAAGATTATGTTATGAAACAAGTTATTAAGTTTAAGTTGAGTTATTTGTTTATGGAAAATTGAGTTTTCCAAGTCCTTCAAATAAGTTTGGTTAAATGTATAGAGTGTTTTAAAGTACGGTATGTCATAAGGTATGCAACCTTTTTTGATTAATTTAAACCTTTATTTATTCATTATTATTTGTTCAATATACACTTTAGTAATTTATAGTACTTCATTTTATTTTTTAACATTAATATTTATCAATGTATATAAAGTAATATAAAGCTGGGCAAATAAAATGAGAATTTTTAGTTTCATTACTTTAAGAAAGTTAAGGCATTGAAATAATTTCGCTTAAATAATTCGGATATTTAAAACTAGGTTAAATCCCAAAGAGATGAAATTTTAAGCATATATTTTTATTAGTTTTATAAATATTCAAACCATTATGTCTGCAAAAATGCAAAAAACAGAAAAAAATCACCGAACAGTCAAGGTGAACTGCACACGGAGTTTGCTGGCCAATTAAAAATGTTAAAATTAGTTTAAATCGTTTGGCAATTTGCTTTCGAAGTTTGCCAAAATGAAAAGCAAACCGAAAAATCGAAAATAAAAAAGTAAAATTCCATGTAAATGTTGAAAACGAAAAAAAAAAAACAAACATCGCTCGGGTTATAAATTAATATTTCGCTTAAGTTAATTTATGTATTTTCGTCGTCGTCAAATACTAAAACCATTAACTTTTGCATCTCGCAAAGCCGAAGATACAAAATGTGCGCAGCATAAATCGGATTTTGCATAGACGGGAAAGAGTTGAGATGGTTACGAAATCGCCTGGCAATATCGATGAAGTTTGGCAAAATCGAAAATATGATAATGAAACTTCGCCACGCTCGATTGGAGACGAAATCTCATGCGGCGCTGACCTGGCTAATAGCCACGGATCCAGGTCCAGACGAACGGCCAATAAGCAGAAGATTCATGCATGAAATGCAAAGCGTTGTCCAACCAAATTATAATGAACCTGGCTCCGATTCATATGGGAAATTACAACAATAAACCCCGACAGTATGGCCCATCGCAAAAGAGATAGTGTGAGTCCCAATGGCAGAAATATATATCTCGTAATCCCCCGATTGCGACATCTTCTTCGACGACGACGGCGACAACGATGGACTGACTGACTGACTGGCTGACTGACTGGCAAAGTCCATCGACCACGTTCAGGGTCGAATCATCTGCAGAAAGGTTCGGATGAAGTAAACCTTTATGTTTTCGGTTTTACATTTTTTTTGCCAACTACCATTATGTGGGCTAATCATTGTCAAATCCGCTTGCGAACACATTTGCTGGTTAGAGGGCCCTAAACGGGTTTAAAGTCTGTTAAAGTCTTTTCTTAAACTTTAATTACTAATCAGTGTTAAAAAAAAAACTTTAAAAATTGTAATTATAGGGAAAGTTGCTCAGTTTTAATTAAATTTTATTTCCTGAATTGTATATTTATTAATACATTTACATCTAATTTATATCAACCTATCAAAGCTTTCGAAATTTATTAAAAAGCATAGTAAGAAAAATGTGATAAATTGTTATATTGTTTTTTTTTATTTCTTTCATATGTATAAGCTGAGTCCATAAAGAAAGTGCCTAAGGCTCATTTTGTAATGGTAAAGGAATTTCTTAAATTCAGCTTCTGGAATTGGGAGAGAGCATATAATCTCAATACAAATCGAACGATTAGTTTTGAAAAAAAAGGCATGTTTTGTTCTAGTGGGTACAGCAATTAGGTAACGATTCATCGCCTCGATCATCAATCACAAGCCCAGAAAATCCGACGTTTTGGCCAACTCCCCAGCCTGCTAATGAGCCATTGCATGTGGATACGTCGGCCGACGGCCCCCCAGCGCAAAGATATCAACAGAAACTATAAAATATAGATCAATCTTGGCCGAAACTGTAGGGCTTCTGCATGAGAAGTCGTGTCAGTGCCTGACACTCATTTGTAGTCATCAAGTGAACTGAGCCAAGCCAAACCGATTCAAGCCGAGCCAAGTCGAGCGGAGGGAGCAGAATCAAGTCGCTGGCCCGCGGCGGTGCCAAATCAATTTTTCAGCTTAGCCGCCCCCTCCTCGTCATTATCCCGTTCTTACTGCTCGACTGACTGCACTGAAAACATAATCCTTTATTTCAAATCAAACTTTACATTTTGACTGCAGTTGGTTTTCATTTATCCATAGTGCTAGATTTATGTAAAGTCTTTTGAAACTATTCAAACTATTCTTTCAAAGTAAAGATCTCTAAGAAAATGCCAAAGGCTGGAATTGTGTTTTTTTTAAATGTATACTGAATATATACAAAGGCAATTATCTTAAATTTTTTAATTTTTGACTTCTAATTCTGAAGGATTAGCAAAACTTAAAAACTTTTTATGTGTAAATATTTTACGGAAAAAATTTAAGAACCAGCTGAATACTCAAGCCAATAAATAATAGTTAAAACATGATTTTAATTATTATATCTAGTCAATTTGAAATTAGTTTCTAAATAATTTTACCTGACGTTAGCTACATACTATTATCTCATTTAAAGTTATTAAAATTATAATTATACAAACTAAATTCGATCTTCAAACTCAATTGTAACATTTTTTTCAAACACTATCACTATTATCTCATTTAAACTTATTATAAATATAAATTATACAAACTAAATTCCGTTTTTAAACTCAATTGTAACATTTTATTCAAACACTATCCCTTCTGTTAAATCTTTTCTGAGTGTATAAACGTTAATTCTGTTCTAGCCAGTTACGCTTAGGCTTGAGCTTCGCCCTCAGTCCGTCCCGCTCGCTCCGCTCGAGACTTCATTCAGCTAACTGTATAGTTTGTAGTTGACGTTTTTACCGCTAAGGTTCGTGCTACGGTAAAAATATGAGGAGCCAGGCAGAAGACAGAAGACAGAGATAGAAGATAGAAGAACGGCGTTGGTGTTGCCGCCGTGTTCTTGGTGTTGCCGTATTGTTGTTGCTGTTGTTGTTGTGGTTGTGTTGCTGCTGTGCCGCAACAGCAGTAAAGCGAATATGCCGAGGCAGCGGGAATCGCAAAAAAAAGAAACAGCTAACAGAACCTAATGATAAAGAACACCATCTAGACTTGGCCAAAAGCTAGTCAGCCTAGCAGCGGCTTATTTAGTATGTCAAAACATGTTTTTGTTGTTCTTGTTGTTGCTTGTGATGTTGGTGTTGCTGCTGTTTGTTGACTATGGAAAGTGGGACACACTTGGTGCAGATGTTGTTGTTGCTGCTGCAGCCACACAAAGGTGAATAGCCAATAAATCGAGGCTTGTAAATTGAAATTCTTTTTAGCATGGGGTGTGTACACACACACACACACACAGTACACCTGTTGTTGCAGTTGCCACTGTCTTGGTGTTGCCACTGTCTTGGTGTTGTTGTTGTCTTGTTGTTGCTGCTGTCGCTGATGTGTTGCTGATGTGTCAGCCTGTTAATTGCCGCTGCCTGGGATGCTTGCGCAATGAGCGAGTGTTCATTTGCATAGCTACAATTCTGAAAGGGGGAAGTAGTGGAAAAAGGGGCTACTTTTGGCTTTGGGGGATATATGTGCGATTATCTGAACCATCGCTGATCGTCGGTGGTCGCTCTGGGTGAGTGCTCACTGTGGTTAGCCTGCTGTTCTTCTCTTGCATTCGCAACAAGTGGAATTCTCTTGCTTACCAAGTTTTTTGGGGTGTGAACTCATCATCTGCGCAATCCTTGACTTAAGATCTTTCAAATATTTACAACTATCTGTCAAGTTAGCAAATGTTTGTTTTGGCATAAATAAAATTGTAAAACTGCCGAACAAAACATTTTTTTTGGTAGCTAAGATTGTTTTATGGATTCTATATAATTGTGTTAAATAATCATGTTTAATTAATAACCATAATCATTTTTATTTGCAATGGAAACATGATTACTATAAAAAATATCATGAAAATTGAATTGAATTGAATTGAATTTAAACTTTTCCTCATACCTCAAATACATAAAAAATCTAGCTTGAAACTTATTCAAAAATATTTCTGAAAAAGTTCTCCCAAAGATTTCTATGCCATCTCCATATAATTTCAGAAAATAACTTATTTGTAGTTGACGTTTTTACGACTTAGGGAAACCTCTTTTAGAGTTTGACAAAGAGTTCTTAAAATAAAGTCTCGTAAATGAATTTGTTTAAATGCGCATTGTAACTTTATTGAAATTTACTTTTAAGTGGTACTTAAAATGATTTAAGGCGTACTTAAACCTTGTATGTAGGTAATGTAAATGTTTTAATTGCAAGTACCTGTCATGGCTCCATTGCTGCCGCTGCTACTGTGATGACCACCACTGTTGTCCCTGTTCGAGGAGTTCGAAGTGCTGGCCGATGTTGCAGTTGCACTGGCTGATGTTGCCGATGTTGCTGGTGTTGCAGAGGTTGCTGTTGATGTTGCAGCGGGTTTCTGGGCGGTCAACGGTGGCATTGGCGGTGGCGTTCGCTCCTTGGATCGTTTGAGGCTGCTCTCCTGATTGGCTGACATACTTTTGCCCAGAGAACTTATGTTGCTGATGCTGCTGAAGCTGCTCAAACTGCTGAAGCTGCTGGAACGCGCCAAAGCAGGAGGATCCGACAGGAATTTAACCTGACTTTGTTGCTGTTGTTGTTGCTGCTGTTGCTGCTGCTGCTGCTGCTGTTGTTGTTGTTGTGACCGCAATTGTGGCACCCTGTTGGTGGCCAATCGCTTGGCTGCCGGCGGTTCTGGTTCAGTCTCATCCTCGTTCTCCGCCTCCGTCTCCAAATCCCCATCCAAATCGTTATCCAACTCCGGCTGCACAGTGGCTATAATCGTTCCCTCCTCGTTGGTCTGCTCAAAGCAGACATCCAGGAGAGTGGTTCCTCCGCCAGCTTGCAACCCGGCTATATCCTTCAGATCGATCCAACTGGCGCCCAGCTTATCCGCATCGCTGAGTGGCAAACTCAGCACCCGCGTGTCGCCCTCTTCCACGATGTGAAACGATTGCGTTGGCTCGATCTTCACTATGATGGGTTGGTTGGCCAGGATCTGGGCGGGTGGAGCACTGCCCAGCAAACTGGCCATGTTCTCCTCCTCCTCCTCGGCGGCCTCCAGTTCGCTGAGCTGCTGTTCGATCTGCAGGTAGGTGCTACTGCTGCTGGAATTGCCAGCTCCTCCCGATTGCGACTTCAACACATCCAACTTGAGCACTGTGCATTTGTCGGTTTGCTGGTATTGGTGCTGCTGTTGGGGGCGTGGCAATAGAGCCAAGGCGGGAGCACCCGATGTCCCCGAACCCTCCGAGATGAAGGTCAAAGGTGGCGAAGTCCCTGTGGACTTGGTGGAAACACTCCTCGCTGAGTGGATTAGTTGGGGTAAAGATGTTGGGTTGGAACCACTAGAGGAACCACTAGTGGAACCTCCACTTCCTCCTCCACTTCTTGCCACAATTGTGGTGGAAACGGGCAGCGGTATTATCGAAATGGAGGGCACCTTGCTGCGCAGATTGGCAACCGCTGCCGCTGTTGCCGCATCAGTGCCAATGAATGTTGGTCCGCCGCCGCCGCCTCCCGAGGATTTTGTGCCGCCGGCGGACTTTGCCTGCTGGATCAGCAGGAGATCTCTGGGCCGCTCCGTTGTGGCGGCCGTTTCTTCACTACTTTTCTCAAAGGACTTTCCTTGCTTTTCCCTTCCCCGTAAATCACTTAACCACACTCACACTTTCACTTGGTTCATTGCTTGCTGTTATTTCGGTTTTATTTTCTATTTTATTTTTGCTTTATTTTATTTTGGGTGTAGAAGCACAACATCGAAATAAATTGAAAAATCAGCCTTACGAAAGTGCACTTAAAAATTGTCCACTAAACAAGTTCATTCATTTAACATTGCGCCTCGATTGCTTGTCAATTGGTGTAGATACCCCCAAGCTTTTTGCTGGGGGGTTTTGTTTTTTATTTGGGGGGTGGTGGGGGGAGGGGCTTTTGCAGATGCACCTGTGCGTTTCGTTCGGTTCGTTTCTTCTTTTTTCTTTTGGTTCGTTTTGCAGCTGGAAATACGCGTCGTATACTTAACGTAACTTTGTGCGATTGAGTTTGGGTTATAATTTGCTGGTTTTGAACTGCATTTTTGGTTAGTCTTTGGTTTGTTCCTTTTTATTTGCTTAATAGCCACAATATGCTGCAGTTTGCTGGGTTATTGTGCAGCAATTGTTGCTGTGTTTCGGTGAAATGTGAATGCTTCTGTATCTGTGTGCTTCGCTGTTGCCTGTGGTCGTTGTCATCCTCGTTTTCTTATCCTGCTGCTGCTGTTTTTGTTGCTCTTGTTGCTCCTTATGTTGCTGCTGCCCTTGTTGTTGTTTCTGTTGTTGCTGCTGGTGCTGCTGCACATGCAACGCGTCGCCGCTGGATGGCTGCAAGGCTGCGCTACAGCATTCGGTTGTGGCAGCGCCATTGGAACTCGACCACGTCAAAACAGTTGGAAGTGTGCCTCTGGATGTGGCAATGTTGCTGCTGCTGCTGCTTCGGCTGCTGCTGCTGCTGCTACTTCTACTGCTGTTGATTTCCCACATTGCGGCACGCAACCCTATGCAACCACCACCCCGAAGGCCCCGTCCATCCTGGCGAAACAACAACAACAACAACCACAACCACCAGCTGTGTGTTTGTGGAAAGTGGCTTTAATAATCGATTTTTCAGCGGCACACTTGCCAATCAATATTTGGCACACAGGAGCAATGCTGCAGCAGCTTTCCCTTTTCCACTTTTCCACAGGAAATTCAATAGCACTTGGTTGGCTTAGATTTTAAAAACACTTTTATATTTAATTTATTAATAAGGGTTCACTGTATGCTTCACTGTTTTTGTGGTGGATTTTCACTTTCAAGAGTTTGAGGTCTAAATGCACCGCGCGCGTTTTTTTTTTTTTTTTGTTGATTTTTGTGGGGCTCCTTTTTTTAAACTTGGAACAGCAGCTGACCGGAGCTGCGTCCTTTACAGGAATGTGTCCCAAATTCGAGTGCCACAAACACAGTTCGTTCTGCCGCTGCACAAACTTTCCGTTTCGTGGGGGTTGCGCCTCAGTTTTCTGGGAAAATCCCAAATGTGTGTGTGCCAGTGTGTGTGTGTGCGGCAGTCTGAGTGTGCGTGTGTGTATATCCGCACATGCAAGTTGAAAAATGGGACTCGCTGCGAACTGCTGCGAAAATAGGGTTAGTAGGCATAATGCCAAGTGCATAGCCAGGAAAAACTGGAAGCCACAGCACGAGGGAAAACGAGCACAGGCGAACGAACGTTGTTGCGCAGCTTTTCCACCCTTAGCCATTCCGTCGAAGTGGGAGGGTGGGAGTGAACCACAGGGAAATTCCCACCGTGGTGGAAAAGCGTCACGGGAAATTTCTGCACGCTCGAGGTGGAAATTTCAAAGGGCGGGATTATTTGAATGAATCTACAATTTTGAACAGATTTTTAAAGCTCTTTAATAATAACATCTGCTTGCAAATCATAAACTTAAATTACATATGTTTATACCTAGTTTAATGAAAACATTTTTTTTACCAATCAATATTAAATGCGCAACATTAATTATTCCATTACTTGGGATTTTAATGAATAAAAAACTGTTTAAAATAATATTATCGCGTTATTACAACACATAACCGAAGGGTTAGGCTAAATCCTTGTTTAGTTTTAAATTTGTAGTTTCTGTTGAAAAAAAATTGATTTTGTTTATATGGTTTATGGTTGTATATGGTTTAAATAATTCAAGCGTTCGAAAATGGTCTTACATCCCTTAAGTTTTTTAATACATATTACGAAAAAAGTTCTTAATCTTATATATAATACATAATGTAGAAAACCGATTTTCACACATTCACAGATTGTTTAAAATACTTCATAAATTAGATACCAAATGGTATCGACTAGAATCTTACGATAAAGATTACTCATTTTCTTTATTAGGCAACTAAGGTTCTTCAAAGCCAAAAAAAGACAAACTGAGTAAAAACAAATCGAAGAACAGCTATGGCCACAATGACCCTCAAATGACGGTTTAAAAAAAGGGAGAACAACTCGGGCATTGGCCAACCGCCAAAGAAAATTTGGACTAATCGCCTAACTGGGCCTCAAACTAACAGATCGTATCGGTTCGGTTCGGATCGGATCGTAACCGTCATTAATGAGGATCAGGGGGAGGGAACCTAGAGCCCAACTATATAGCAACTGAGGGCCGATGAGGGCGAACCAAAAGACCACCGTTAAGATGGATTTGGAGCCAAGAGCCAAGAGCTAAGAGCCAAGAGTCAACCATCAACCATCAACCATCAACAATCAAGCATCAAGCATCAAGAATCGGCATTAATATTTCATGTTTTTCCGTTGCTTAAATCATGTTAGATTTATTTTGCGCCGCTTTCAGCTGCCGCTTGCGCAACAACAATCAACAGCTAACAGCTAACAGCTAACTGGTTCTGCCAGCAACCGACGACTTGCAGCTAAACTTGGCTAAAACACCGTTGGTTCTAACGTGAACGCGAAAATGTGTGCCTCACCGTTGTAAACTTCTTGCGGCGGTGTTTTGTGTGTTGTTCTGTGTTGCCTCATCTATATATCTATTGCAAGTTTGTGCCGATTCTAACCTGTTTTCCTTTTGCACAAACTCTCCGAAAAAGTCCCGTAAGAAAGTCCCAGTTATTCAAGAGGAAAAACCTGTTACACGCAACTGGCTCAGAGAGCTGATTGCCAAGAAAAGTATATGTATAAAGACCAGAAAAGAAAAGAACTGAAAAGAACAGAACAGAGCGGTGGAAAGAACTGAGAATTGTATATGGCCAGAATAGCAGCAGCGAACAGCAAACACGTTAGTACCGTTGCCTCGGATTCTTTGTTGCGCAACTGTGTTGCAAGATTAGCTGCGACTTCCAACTGGTTTATTGCAGCCCCACTGTCGATGAGGCAACAGTTGGCCATTACTGTTGTTCTACCAGCACTGTTGCTGTTGCTGTTGCCTTGAAGATGTGGTAAAATCTTTTGGCTAGAATCGGAAATCCAGCGGCAAGACGACGTCGAAGTCGAAGCGGCACTGCATTGCATGTCTTGCAGCTTGACTGCATATCCCATCCATTTATTTGCGGCTATTGAAAGCCGTTGCCTTTTATAATCAATTAGGTGTTTTTTTTAGCCAGTTTAATGATTCCATTAGTGGCTTTTGGGCTTCGGACAGACAAGGCTGATGTCGGCCGCGTAATATCACCAGAACTATTTTGATTGCCGGAGAAACTCACTTGTTAACTTATTTACTCAAGGGGAAAATTCAAAAAGTTTCGAAAGCCCTATGAACTTACTCTAACCAACGGTAAATTATATATAAAAGAAATTACAGGAAAATAACCATTTAAATCAAATTAAATCTTAGTAGATAAATTATTTCAGTAGGTACAATATCCAACCATATAAAACCTTGCTTTAAGCCATTTTAATTTATTATTTGTATAATTAAGTTAATCATATTTTGGTAATCATCGTAGTATTTTTTGCCCCATGATTTCTAGTTACTATGAAATTAAACCTCTTAAGGAATCATAATAACGTATTAACGTGACAAACGTGATGGCAAATATCTTAAGGGAACATTAAAAAGAAATGATTCATTTAGGTAGATTTTTATACCCTTGCAGAGCAAAGGGTATTATAATTTTGGCCAGAAGTTTGCAACGCAGTGAAGGAGACACCTCAGACCCCATAAAGTATATATATTCTTGATCAGCATCACGATCTGAGTCGAAATACGTCTGTACGTCTGTCCGTCTGTCCGTCTGTCCGTCTGTCCGTCTGTCTGTCTGTCCGTCTGTCCTCCTGTCCGTTTCTGCCTAAACTAGTCTCTCAGTTTTAAAGCTATCTTGCTGAAACTTTCCCAAAAGACGTGTAGTTATTGCACGCAGTATATAAGTCGGAACGAGCCGGATCGGCCGACTATATCGGATAGCTCCCATACAAGAGGTCAAAAAAATAAAGGATAAAAAATTATTACGCCGTTGTTTTTGATCAGATCGACTTGAATTCTTCAAGATGGCGTTTTCTAACAGTTATTAAATTTCGGATTAAATTTTATCAAAATCGAATAACCCTATCATATAGCTGCCATAGGAAAGATCAAAAAATATATATAGAAATAATGGCAAAATAATCATAACGTTGTTGTTTTTTATTCCACGAGCATGATTTTTACAACATCGACTTGATGAACTAACCTTGAACCGAGAAAAAAATTTCATCAAATCGACTATATCATATAGCTGCCATATGAACAATAGTCGAAAATATGGAAAATTAATAGAAAAGTCGTCATAGCTTCGATGTATTATGTATTTTGTTCGATATGTTTGATGACTGCAAGGGTATATAAGCTTCGGCTTGCCGAAGCTAGCTTCCTTTCTTGTTTTATTAGTATTTTGCATTAATTAGCACATATTTGTTTCGCTTTTGAATGCTTGGCTTTAAGGTTTATTGAATTCTTTAACCAACTCATTCAATAAGAGACAAATAGAGATATTAGGAATGAATTATTTATTTCAAAATGAGATTTATTTATTCACATTTGTTTTATTCCGAAAAAATGTTTAGAACAATATAAATCTGAGTCTTAGGAATAAATATAACAATGAATAATATGCTCAATAGATAAAAATGTTAAATAATATAAATACATATTATAAACCCCATTTATGAAAGATGTGATTTTGTAAGGAGTATCGCATGTTGATCCCTTAAAAATAGAAATTCTATAGTCTTATAGTAGGTCCCCATTCCCCGCACTCACCTCTGATGGTGCTTGGCATGTTATCCAGGTTCTTGGATCTCTTCAATGGACAGACTTCCAGACTTTCATTCACACACACTCAGAGTGACCGGATCAATGTCAAGGCTTTGAACCCGCCACTCAACCAGATCATGATCACGATCGTTAAATTTGCGAATTAGTTCGAGTCGCCGGGATGGGGTACTTCGATCGCATCAAACGGTTTTCAAACGCGCTCCGAACAGCCGGCGAAGGTGATGATGAAGTCGGCGAGGCGGAGCGGAACGGAACGGATCAGGAAGGAGAGCGAACGCGAATGCGATCGGGACTGGTGGCGGCGATCCGGCAAGAAAGAGAGAGCCCAGAATCCGAGTGGACTGGACTGGACGTGGGGACATGCGATTGCACACTAAATGGCCAGAAACCGAGGCGAAGACCCGTTGCATCCGATGATGATAATGATGAAGATGATCATGATGATCATGGGGTTCCTCTTCATCGGCGGCGGTTGGAATCATCATCCTCTGGCGGGGAACCTGTGTGTGCGTTGGCGAGCGGAAAAACAAGCAAAAACCCCAAGTTCCAAGCCCAAAAAGAAACAGAAACAGAAGCCCAGTCCGAGAAAGGAGAAAGGAGCTGTAAGTCCAAGAAGAAGAATAATAATGGAAGAAGAAGCAGACGAAGTTCCCACCTCAACACACGCGCTCACCAACACACCTGCAAAAAGGGGCCGCTCACCACAATTCCTGCTAATTAAATGCGTGATCACAGCCCGAAAATATCCACGCAGCAACCAAAAATATACAGTTGCAACTTACTATGTTGGATTCTTGATACGACGGGATAACAGACTCATATTTAATAAAGATGATTGAAATAGGGCAAAATAACTGTTGTACAATTGAAAACATTGATTTATTATTGGAAACTGATTAAATATAAGTCCTTTTCTTAAACATTTACACATTTATTAAAATATAAATTTAAAGCTTTTAAGATACATTTTAATTTTATGTTCCTCAAATATTGTTTTAGGCGAAGGTGTCAAGATTAGTAAGCTCCTAAAGCTATAAAATATTTAGAATTCATGTAAATTGAAGGTGCTAAAGATTTTTACATAAAGTCCAAAACCCGTTTAACAGAGTTAAAAGAAAATAACACGATAAGATTAATTTTTTCATAAAATACGTCAATATTACTTAATATTTAATCCATTGTTTATGTTTGATTTATGGAAGGTGGCCTGTATCGAGTGTTGGCTGGTAAGAGATACACAGCCAGCGGAGTCATGCGTGCATTTCATCAGAGATGATGGGATGTCCAAAAGTCCGAGAGTCCGGCTGTTACTCCCCGAGTGATACACGTAGAGCTCCAAAGAGTCAGGGACCCGAAACCCGTGACGTTGTATCTGTATCTGTGTATCTTTGGGGCCCGTCATCGGATCGCAGCTCGCTCAGTTGCACCTTTAATCGCTGAGCAAACAGGAAGACTTCTACGGCAAACACACTCACACATACACACACACACACATGAGCTATGTGGTGAGCGGGAGAGGGGAAAACAGGTTGAGAAGTACCGCTAAGCGGAGGCCCCAACTCTCCGAGGTCAACGAACGTTCTTAGCGCTCAAGAATGCAGGAATCAAAACACACCAAAAAACCAAGAGAGTCAAAGAAAGAGAAAGAGAGAGAGGGCGGAAGAGAGAGCAAAGAAAGCGGGAAGAGAAAGAAAGCCAGGCGATCGTTTTAAGAGCGGCACAGGTAAGCACTGCAACTAAAATCACTCATTTCTCTTCGTATCTGTATATTTTTGTTTGTGTTTTATTGTATGCACATGCACTTTTGAAACGAATTTATCTGTTGCTTACAGCTAAATGAAAAAGCTTACAAAATGTGTATTTATAGCCGCTGATTTAAAAAGAACAAAATAAAAAGAGAGAGTGCGGGAACAAAAGCCGCTTTGTAACTGCCTGTCTCATGACCAAAAGAAACCGAAATTCTTATTCTTATTGCTCAATATTTGGTAATACACACTCATGTACACAGATACACTTGTAGATACAACTACAGATACATTTGACGTGCAAAAGCCATTGAATGTAGCGGTATTTTGTCGAAATTTTCAGAGTCTCGAGACGAGTACAAAGCTCATTGACCTCTCTCTTTCTTTCTTTCTTTCCTCTCTCTCCTGCCCCATTCCCTTGTAACAAGTGTGTAATGAGCGGGGAATGAGGGGCCTGATTTGCTTTTCTGATATTTTTTGGGCGTTTTAAGTCGGGCTTCCAGTTAACATAAGTTTCAAGCATTTTCGGTTTTTATGTCTTCCTGTTAGACATCGTTTTCTCTGGGGAATTTCTTGTAAATCTGCTCAGATGGGGTATTTATTTATCGTTAAGCCCACAAGCGAATTAGTCAAGAAGAGAGGGGGGTATTTGGCTGACAGCCTGTTGATCCCGTTTACGTTTGCTGGCCTGCGATTGGTCAGTTCCTTTGTATCCCTAACAAAGGACACCTCCTGCCATTGGCTGTTGCTCCCCACCCGCGCTCTTTCTCCCTCTCTTTCTCTTGTCCCTTGTCCTACTTTGTTGTCGGTATCCTTTTGTTTCTCAACTGCCTGTTGCTGCATTTGTATACTCTTTCTGTGTGTAAGAGAATTTCCGGAACAAGGAGATCGCATCACAGAATAAAATAATATGGGAAACTCAAATAATTATACTTACCGTTAAATTTACATTTATTATATTTACATTTATTTACAATTTACAATTTTTACAACATTGGTATGTAATATTAAGTACTCAAAAGATTTTTAAAATAGAGTGTATAATATTTGTATATTGTATTTGTAATGAAATATCTCTTAATATTGATTGTATTATTATTTTTATGCATATAAACTGAAAAGGACAATCTTAAAGAGTATCCAAACTTTGGTGAGCTACACCAACGCTTTTCCTAAGCTTATTGTTGTCATCGCTCATATTAGGAAAATAGCCGTCCCGCTGTTTATTAGCATTTTCATTTGGCCCAATGTCCTTCGTTTTTCCAGCAGCAAAGCAACAGTTTCCGGGTATAAATAGGTCCTGTTCGACTTCGATTCCATTCAGTTCGTCTTTGATTCGAGTCCTGTGCGTGTTAAATTTATTTATATTGTGAGTGTCAAGTTTGGTTTATATAGCAAAAAGTTCCTGGAAAAATATTTTAAAAAAAGTTAAACAACGAATACCAAATTTATATAATTATTATAATTTTGAAATTAATGTTCTTGGATTATCCTGTGATCTTTATGTATTTTGTACAATGTTTAAAATTTAATGTTAACATTTTTTATAAATTCCCTGTTTTGGTTATCTGTAATTTTATCTGGCAACATGTTTGTTCTGCGACTTTCAACATTTTTGTTGTATGGCAAACATTTAATTTGTTTGCCCGACCATTTCATCATTTCATCGATGAATTAACGTCCATGTTTCCATCATTCTAAATGCATGACAAAATGCAGTTGGAAAATTGGTACACGCGCTGCCAGATCAAGAGATATAGTTAATTTGCGGTATTTAAAATATAATCAAGCAATGCGAGTTAGCAAGCATAAACAATTAGAGGCGCACTTTCCAATTTAAACGGAATTTTGTTGGGGATCAGCTGCGATTCGAGTGCATCCCCCTTTGGATGGATGCTCCCCATGTCGTGCTTCGTCGGGGGATAAGTAATTAGGTAGCTCCATGTTCCGACAACTTGCCAACACATGCCCGAATCGGATTTGTTTAGAGGGAACATTCTAATTGGTTCCGGCTGGGTTTATAAAAGCAGGCCACGAGCCGAAAAGCCCTAGTTATAGGACAAATATTATCGCGGCTGTAATAAGGTGAACCATAGTGATAGAACCCTTTCAGTGGCCAAAGGTCCACTCTAGTGTTTTCCCAGCTGGTAGCTCTTCCAAGCGCTTTTCTTTTCATTTACATTTCCAGCCATCACCAGAAGCCCCACAACATCGGAAGTGCCCAAGTTTCCATTCCATTTATATTGTTCTCTGTCGTTTTTTCTGTTTTTCACCAGCGGTCAGACGGCTGTCGTTCCCATTTGGCATTTCAATTTAGCACAAGTCACCGAAAAATGGAGCTGGCCTAGCGAGAAGTTAAAAGGGATTAAGTCGAAACTCATTGCGAAACGAGGCGCCTGCAGATATATACATATATCGTGTTATAACCCCTGATTGCGGGCGACACAATTGCACAGTCCGATTTTACGTCAGCAAGGGTTAAGCAAGGCGACTATTGCAGCATGGACTTCAAGGAATACCGCCAACGGGGTGAGTACTGTCCCAAATCCGTGGCCATAAAATGCACAGCGGCCGACGCATGTGTGTGTGTGTGTGTGCGTGTGTGTAAATACCGGATGGAAATCCAATCCAATCCAATCCAACGGGGCGTATATTTGATTGGCCCCGGGCGGATTTGACCCTACCGTTTGTCTTCGTTTGATGGCCGTAATTGAATTCACAGACACCAAGAAAATCCCCTCTAACCAGTATTTTCTACTCAACTTTTATTCGCTATTTTCCAACCTATTAAAGCATGCTGGCGCTAATTTTTGCCACACTTCTTCTAAAAATACATTTGCAAGCCAACAAACACCAGTTCTGTTAAATGTAAATTTATTTATTTTTTATTTAACCATGTCGGATACAAATTAACTCAATGAACGTAAGAGCCAGCAGACTGGACGTAAAACTAAATAATCATTTAATGGTATAATAACTAACATGTGCTTTAAAAGGTTAAAGAACTATTTTCATAACAGTTTAATAACAATCTTTTAAGATTGTTTTTTCACAAAAGGTTAGACTGCGCTCTTATCACTAATTTAAACAAATTGTTTTATTCAAACTTTTGAAATGTCCTTGTTTTTAATACAAATCATGTTTTAGGGTTTTTTATTATAAAGAACAATTATTCGATTTTATAATTGTACTAAGAGTGTTGAAATAAATTTCGCTTGCAGGAAAAGAGATGGTGGACTATATAGCCGACTATCTGGAGAACATACGGGAGCGACGCGTTTTTCCAGACGTGAATCCTGGCTATATGCGTCAACTACTGCCGGAATCGGCTCCCATTGAAGGAGAGCCCTGGCCGAAGATCTTCGCGGATGTGGAGAGGATCGTGATGCCGGGAATAACCCACTGGCAATCCCCTCACATGCACGCCTACTTTCCGGCCCTTAACTCGATGCCCTCTCTTTTGGGCGACATGTTGGCAGATGCCATCAACTGCTTGGGATTCACCTGGGCCAGTTCCCCGGCCTGCACCGAACTGGAGATCATAGTGATGAACTGGCTGGGCAAGATGATCGGCCTGCCGGACGCCTTCCTCCACCTGAGTTCCCAGAGTCAGGGAGGCGGAGTTCTGCAAACCACGGCCAGTGAGGCCACTCTCGTCTGTCTGCTGGCAGGACGCACTCGGGCCATCCAGCGGTTCCACGAGCGACATCCTGGCTACCAGGATGCGGAGATCAACGCCCGCTTGGTGGCCTACTGCTCCGATCAGGCGCACTCCAGTGTGGAGAAGGCGGCCCTAATTGGTGAGATTTAACTTTGAACTTTTTTTTTATTTAAAAATTTTGTAGCTTAATATTTTTTAATATTTTGAAAGAAGGCAAAGTTTAATAATAATAATAAATAATTATTTAGTGAATTTTTTTAAATAATCAACGATAACAGCTTAGTGTATAGACATTGACACTAAATTTACCCAAGCTATTTCAATTGAAAATTTAAATTAAAATTTCCTAAATCAAAATTAAATTTCAAAGAAAAATAGTGTCTAGACCATTCACAGATGGAATTAAACTTACAAATTATTTTTCAAAGGTTTTTTTAATCACTTTTATAACCCAGTTGCTATGTGCTTACATTAAATGTTAATATTATTTTAGAAAAAGCCTGTAAATACTGTTTTGTAACCACACTATCTTTTGGTCACTTCCCTCGACCACAGCTTCCTTTATTGTTTAATCCGCTTACGGTTTAAGCCACTCCCCGACTCTTTCCTTTCCGCAGGACTCGTGAGGATGCGGTACATCGAGGCGGACGAGGACCTGGCGATGCGCGGCAAACTGTTGCGCGAGGCCATCGAGGATGACATTAAGCAGGGACTGGTCCCCTTCTGGGTGAGTGGCAGTCTGTCAAAATTAATTGGCCCGCCTTCCGCAGCCAGCTGATTCCTCACTCCTCACTCCTGATTTCCGACTCCTGATTTCCGATCCCCGATTCCCCGACTGGAGACCCCAGATTCGCGTCTCCCACTGGAGCCAATTAATACATGTCAGCACTAAAGTGTCCTGCGGTGGTTTATTTTTATTTTTAGGTCTGCGCCACACTCGGCACCACCGGCAGCTGCAGCTTCGACAACCTGGAGGAGGTGGGTATTTGGGGAGCAATTAACAGACAAATAACAAATTTACTGGCCACCAAAAAAAGGGATACATTTCACAAGATACAAATGGGGTGGTGGTTGAACCATTTAAAAAAGGATTCGCTCACAAGAGTACTTTATATTTGTATCCTTTCTAATCAACTAAGTAAGATTGCCGTAAAGATTAAATAACTATATCACCCGGTTTTTTTTTTAGCATATCACTTTTCAAATCTATAAAATGTATAACACATCAAATTTAATTTAATAAATTAATTATTTATCAAATGCTATAATTGAAATCAAATTTGTTATATATAATTATATTTTTAATGAGCTTCGAATTAGGTAAATTTATTTTTCTTGTTCTAATTATCCATCTACAGTGTGTAATACTTGTTTTTAATTGTTAGCTTAAATGTTAATGTCAATGTAGATTTTTTATATGATAGAAAACCATAATTAATTGCTTGTAAAACATAATCTCGTTCCAGATTGGCTTGGTTTGCGCGGAGCACCACCTGTGGCTCCACGTGGATGCGGCGTACGCGGGAAGTGCGTTCATCTGCCCGGAGTTTCGCACCTGGCTTCGTGGCATCGAACGAGCGGACTCGATGGCCTTCAATCCTTCCAAGTGGCTGATGGTGCACTTCGATGCCACCGCTTTGTGGGTGCGCGACAGCACCGCCGTGCATCGAACCTTCAATGTGGAGCCACTGTATCTGCAGCACGAGAATTCCGGAGTGGCGGTGGACTTTATGCACTGGCAAATACCACTGAGTCGCAGATTTCGGGCTCTAAAAGTGTGGTTCGTCCTGAGATCTTATGGGATAAAAGGACTTCAACGCCACATCCGCGAAGGAGTTCGTTTGGCCCAGAAATTCGAGGCTCTCGTCCTTGCAGATCATCGATTTGAGTTGCCTGCCAAAAGGCACTTGGGATTGGTGGTCTTCCGGATTCGAGGTGACAACGAGATCACCGAGAAGCTGCTGAAGAGGCTGAACCACCGGGGCAACCTGCACTGCATTCCCTCCTCGCTGAAGGGACAGTACGTCATCCGGTTCACCATCACCTCGACGCACACGACCTTGGATGACATTGTCAAGGATTGGATGGAGATCCGGCAGGTGGCCTCCATGGTGCTGGAGGAGATGAACATCACCATCTCGAACCGTGTCTATCTCAAGGGTAAACGCAAGTCCTTCCGCCTCCAGTAGCCGTCACTTCCGTTTCCGTTTCCGTTCCAGTTTCCATTTCCGTTCCTGTTGCTGTTTCCGTTTCCGTTTACGTTCCTGTTTATGTTTTCAAATAGTTAATGCACCCATTATCGTTGGTTTTATTAAGCTAATATAAAATGTAGCTTTGTGTGTGTTTGTATTTTTGATTTACTTGTATTTATTTATAAATATATTCAGTTTTATAAGGCCTTTACTATTGAGGTCTTTTGGGAACTGACAGAGAAGTAAATTCAAATTTCTGGTATGGAGAAGTGCATACCTAAAAAATGTACAAAAAAAAAACATTTAAATAAAATAATTAACCGTAAGTAGAGATAGTTGAAAACGATATAGTTATATTTGAATTATTTTTATGTTAACCCAAAATAAAGTTGAAAAGCACTTTTTTTAAGCTTGAATTGTAAAAAATAAAAGATTTTTAGTTTTGCTATTGTACTACTTACTGTTCTACCGTTTTTTTCCGTTTCAATCCAAGACCTAAGAACCTTACGATCTTATATTCAAAACCGCAGAAACCAAAGAGAAGAACGAAGCTTTCGGGTCGAGTCTTCTGCTCTCGAATTCTCCGCTTTCCCCCAAAGTGGTAAACGGTTCCTTTGCGGCTATTTTCGATGCGGATGAGTTCCTGGCCAAAACCTACGCCGGTGTTCGAATTGCGGTGAGTACATGTGGATTATTAGAGCATCCGGAAATTCGACTTGTGATTTTCCAGCACCAGGAATCCCCTTCGATGCGCCGACGAGTGAGGGGCATCCTCATGTCCGGCAAACAGTTTTCTCTAGATTCTCACATGGACGTGGTGGTGCAGACGACTTTGGATGCCGGCAGTGGTGCAACTCGGACCAGCTCCACCAACTCCTATGGCCACACCACATCTGCGGCCCAGGAAAATTCGGAGAGGCAGGCGAGCATCCAGGAGGACAACGAGGAGTCGCCGGAAGGTATGAAGCCCAGGTAGTGTAGTCCGCCCTTTAGATCTATCGCTAGTGCTAGTGTGCAATTAATAAAAAACCTCAGCTTTATCAGATCAGTGATGCATATCGGCGATTTCATGTTTTTGCTGCTTGTACTTTTATAAAAATATTTGTTATTTATTTGTGTTATTTATTTGTTTAAATAAATCATAATAATAAATAAATCAAATAAATTTGATTTAATTGATTAAAACTTATAAGTCAATATGTACATTTTGTTAGTTTCTAAAAGGCTGAAAATATTCTTAAAAAAAATAATGTTTTTTGAAGTTTTTGAAGAGTACAGGATTTTACATTATTTTCATATAAATAAAAGTAAATAAGTAATAAAGTAATTATTATTGTGCATTTATTACATTACATGAAATAAGCCGACGTTAATCACTGATCAGGATTTTAGTTACCGCTGCTAACCATTTCAGTAATACGTTGTCCATTTCTAGAAATTGAATTGCTGTCACTGTGCAGGAGCCATAATGTACCCACTCCCGACCACGCCCACTCCCTGTCCACGCCCAGTCGCAGTTGCAGCTCCACCTCCCACTCCCACTCGCTTACCCACTCCTTAACCCACTCCCTGACCCACTCCCCCTTGCACTCCCCTCCCGCCAACCAATTTCGACCCATTGCCCTGTGCGGAATGACCAGTCAGTATCCCCCAGCGATGCCCTTTTCCACACCGCTTCCCAATCGAGATGTCACCGTTTCGGTGGACAGCCTACTGACCCCGGTGACCTCGAGTAACCTCTACCACGGTAAGCGATTCCTGGAGCCCCTCGAGAGCCTCGCCCAGAGCAGTGCGTCCTTCAGCAGCAGCATCTTCCGCCTGCCGACGCCTTTGGCCACGCCCACCCGGGAAACGCCGGAGGATCCGGACTGGCCGGCCAAGACCTTCAGCCAACTGCTGCTGGAGCGCTACTCCTCGCAGACGCAGTCCTTGGGACGCAGTTCCTCGACGGAGAGCAGCAGCTTCAGCGGCGGTGCCACGCCCACGCCCACGCCCCTGAGCAGCCTCGATGAACTGGTGACCCCGCTGCTGCTCTCCTTCGCCTCCCCCACCTCGCAGCCCATGCTCTCCGCCCACGGAAACGGGGAGGGGCAGCGGGAGGGGGCCAGCGACTCGGATGCCACCGTTTGCTCGGCGAACTCCTCGATGGAATCCCTATAGTTCTTAGTTAATAACACTCTGTTAACCTGTGTTCCTAAGTTTTATTTAGCCAAGATTATACTCTTATTACACCCATTATTCTTAAAGGTCATTTCTCGCCTATAACCAAAGATAAGTTGAAGGTCCCAGCGATATTTCAGTTTCATTGTACATACATATATCTTAAATGTACGAGTGTGAGTGTGATTGGGGAAGGAAAGGACAAGTCATCCAACGCTGCTGTGCAATCAATCAATAATGCAATCAATCGTAGTACCAATCAATGTTGAGCCGAGTGTTGTATCCATATAATATGCATGCCTATATATTTATTTCCTACTGTAAGATAAGTGCTTAGTGGTCAACCAGTTCTAATGGTTCCATCGGAACCAGTTAACCAAAACAGTCCAAAACTAACCGGCTTACTTATATCCATGTTTAACCGATTTTAATGTGATTAAAGTTTCAATGTTCAAGTTAAACATAACCCAAGATTTTTTTTCTTAAAGGGGAGTTCAAATATGTACATCTTTTTTCGGCTTGAAACCATTTAAGTATGCTTTAAAAAGTTCATTGTATTTTGAGTATAATTTTTGATACCTTTTCAATAGGTTTACGATCTTAGGCAACAATACTTCTCTTATAATAAATCCCACATAAAAAACATACTATTTTTATGGGAAATAAATTTAATCATAAGGTTTTTGGAGGCTCAGGTTGTAAGGACATGTTTTCTATACCATAGACTGGTTTGGCTGTCGGAAGGCTTATTCTTCTTTTGATTTTTCTCAGTCCATCGTGTTTCATGATTAGAGTAAAAGTCTGTCTTCGCCAACACCTTCCTCTGTGTTCGACTCTTTGCTAGTTTCTAACGTCTTAACTTCCACGGCTTCGTCATCATCAGTCGTTTGAACCCAGGTGCCCTGTACAGGTGCCCTCGTGGAGGTAGTCGCCCTGGATGCTATCCGGTAGATAATTTGCGCATAGAAGGTCAATAGGAAGATGATGATGAAGTCGTGGAAGAGGATGAGTGATGCCAGCAAGTGATCATTGAGTCGCATTTCGGCAAAGCGCCCACCATTGATGGTCTGTGCATGGTACATCACAAACTAATAGGGAAAAATAGTTTATAGATTAACCAAAAAGAGCAAGAAACCAATTACCAATAGGACAATGATGCTGATGAAGATCTGGAAGACCACAAAGGAGTAGGGCATATCGAGTAGAACGTGCATCATGACAAAAAAGACGGTGACGATGAGGAAAATGAAGGCCAGCACAAACAGAATCACCACGTCCAAAGTGAGATCGTGCTAGGGGAAATATTTATATTATTTTTTATATATTATAAAAAAAAAAGTAAAATATTTACTGGTATAATAGATCCTAGCAGCACGAAGAGAAAGACAAGTAGCACACAGATGAAAAACCACATTATTAGATCTTCCCAACGACTTCGAGCCGCCAGTGCAAATATACCTATGATCACGAACTCAACCTATCCAATGGAATCGAAATGGGAGATCGGAGCAGAATCTGTTCGCCAGTTACTCACTATCAGCAGGGTGAGAAGCCAATTGAGTCCTATGATAAAGCGGATCTTCTCGAAGAATATAAACAGCGTGACCAGCAGCATTGCCACGGAAAAGAAGATCACGCTGATCCAGTAATGTTCTATGAAAACCTGCCTTATGTCGTCTCTAAGGGGAGGGGGTTATTCTGGCACCTCCACGGTGTAATCTCAACTCACATTAGGCAGACCAGAAGCCATTGCAGCAGGGCCAAAACCATCCAAGCTATGGTCACCATGTAGACCGTGCAGGCAAACTTCCGGCGGGCCCGCCGATAAGCCCGAATTCTCTGGCGCCGGTCTTCCATGGCTTTGTGGGCGTCGTCGTGGGCATGGGCGTGGCCCGGATTAAGTGTTAAGGGGTGAAGAAAACAGAAACAAACGAGAAGAGGAACAATTTTAGATAAACTTCAAACAAGGTGGTATATTCTTATTTAAGATTTAAATATCTACAACTACTATTTATTTCTTGGAAACTTGTATTAAAAATCTATAACAAAAAAATTTGTTGAGATATTCTTCACTGTAACTTTTCTGTCAGTAAAATTTAATAAAAAAAATAAATAAAAAAAAATGTCTGCCAGATCAAGAAAATGTAAATTTCATTTTGTTTAGAAAGAGATGGCAAACTAAAATAAGCAAAAACAGAAAAAAATATTTTTTTAAAAAGGTTCCTATAAAAGGACTTTTAAATGTATTAGGTAAGTAAATAAATGAATTTAATATGATGGGTAAAGCTATAATATATTTAAATTAACCATTGCATTTAGTGTCAAACGACATATGATATCGCTTAGAAGAGCACTTAAGAAATTTTTTAAACTGAAAGTAAATCTTTTGGCTTTCTTTCAAGTATTTTTAAGGTATAAAGTATTTTTCTTAAGGTTTTATGTTTACTATATTTAGTTTACTATATATAAGTGTTTTTCAAAAGGCTTCAAGGCCATCATATAATACCAAGGATAGCAGGTCTTATAAAAACCGCAACAGTGATTTCAAACAAACTCTTCCGAAAGGTAATTATTACCCGGAATACATTTCCATTCGCGACCACGATGGCGGTTGGAATAGTTGGCACTGGTTTTTCTGATAGATATTCTATGTTTTTATCTCAAATTCAAATGTGAATTGAAACAAGTCAATCCAGATCCAGTCCCAGTTCCAGGCCCAGTGCATCTGTACATATGTTGCGTGACGATCCGTTGCCGCAGAAGACAAATGTGTGGCCCACGTACAGGGTGACCATTATAATGCTCCTTCTCGGCCAGGTTCAGGTGGCAGTGGCCATGGAGATGTAAGTAGAGGTCGACGTTGAGCATCGTGGACTTCTTATAGGTCCCTCTTCTCCTTAGAAAACCCCTGAAAAAATTTCTAGCGGAGCGCTACTACCTCAGCCTGATCCAGTTCTTCATCAGCTTTCTGTCCATTCAACTCTACGGATTCTTCTACAGCATTATAGTTAAGAAGCCCGTGTGGGCTCGAGTCATGGCGGGTCTTTGGACGGTAAGTATACTATTCAATAACACTGGCGAAAATGATTTCTTATATCTTATATCCAGTACGAGGTGAACACAATGTCCATCATGAAACCGGCAAAGAGAGCACCACACATGTGCCTCATCATGTCCTTCTTCCTCACCATCGTCATAATGATCATTGGTGTTATATACGGGAATAAGGCAACTAACCATCGAAAAGGACTCTTTGTATGTTATGCATTGGGATCCGTACCACTTTTATTTTCTCTATCACCTTAACCTTTTTAGACTTCCAGGAGCAAGGTGATCCTGTGGAGCGAGCGAATATTTGTACTCACTTGTTTTGGCATCATCGTGTGCGCCGAAATGAGGCGGGTTGCCATCGAGTTTCCCACCCTGCTTGTTTACACCCTGATCTCGAATGTGGTACGTAATTATATTAAAGATTTCTTAGATAAAACCAAAGAACCTAATACAATTTAGTACGGAACTATTATTATAAATTTCGTACACATTTGAAAGTGTTAAAATTGAAAGAGAGAAAGTAATTGCAATCTCTTTCCCCAGTTCGTCATTATATTCGCCGCCTCGATGCGAAGGCCGGACTTCTTCCGTCCGGATTCAAGCGGCGATCACATTTTGATCGGCCAACTGTACTACCTCAACGCCTTCGCTCTGTACATGGGATACGTGTGGACGACGTCCTCGTTCCTGGAGCTGATGGAATGGGACGTGTCGGCTGTGGGTATAATCAAGTCCCTATTTTACAAGAAAGACGTCCAATGAGTGCGACGCATGCGCGGACTATCGGAACAGCTGGGACGGAATGTTTACGCGAGGTGAGGCTAACTCATCTCTGGTGCGGCAGTTGCTCAGTGCCTCGTCGTCGATGGGGCAAGTTTGTCAGGGTTACGCGACTCTGGTCGTTTCGGTTCGATTCGGTTTGCCGGAAAATCGATAGCTGTTTTCTTGGCACGCGCAATTTACCCATTGTCGCTAAATGTAAATAAATGGATTTCTTTGTGAAACGTTTCGACAATACTCCGATGGATTTCCTGGGACTGGTTAAAGTGTAGGTGGCATGATGTATTTTCAATTGGATGACATACAAGTATATATAATTGTACATTTGCAATACACATTCATGTTGACCTCTGGTCGCGGCTACAATACGTAAAAATGTTACGATTTAACATTAAGTTTTAATAATTACATTCTGGTTAAATATATATGCTAGACGCAATTTTAGTAAGTTATCCCTTTGATTTTCCTTCATTATCTCTCTCTGATTGCGCGAAAAGACCAGAAATTGAGGTTCCCGTCCTAAATATGGTTGTTTGGTCCTTTTCCATTCCGTATCCGTGGGGTTGCCTCACTTCCACAAAGGTTTTTAGTGCGGCGGTGCTTGGGTGACGGCCTTAGTTCCTCCACCACTGCTGCTATCACTGCTAGATGGCCAAACGGACACTAGAAAGGGAAATCGCATTGTTTAGTGTTTGGTAGATTCATAAATGTATTTCTATAGTTATATGCCTAAAAACTTTGAAGTATATGAGTCACGGCAATGAAATTCTAAACGAATAAAAACTGATATTTGCAGTAGATCTGACAATGATTAAAAACTGGTCAAAATTCATGAATAACAAACTTCCCTTTGAAATTTGTGCATACAATTTTTCTCTAAAACTTTTTTTGTTAAAGACCCAGATACTCACTGAAATTTTAAATTTAAATTTATAAATACGAATATCTTCAAGTAATAAGAAACCTAAAGCGATTCAATCTCTCCCTGTAGTTGCGTTTCCTACACTTCTAAAACCAAAAATGTTTAACAATCTACACACGTACACATCGAGGTTCTAATCTGCACACATTATAGACTAAACAAATATAATGATAATTAACACTTAGGACAGCCACAATAACAACAATTACCTTTAGAGTTTTAGAGTTGCTTAGCTTAAAAATATAATATACAATTATAAGTGTATATAGTAGGAGCCGGGTCCACGTTAAGAAACGTGACTAACGATTAATCTGAACCTTAACTTTGCTGTATGGTGAAACGGAATTGCATTTTTGATTGATTGTTTTTTGCTGGCTTTGCTTTTGTTTTTCAGAGTGTGTGATTAATTGTATCAATTGAAAAGCGACACTGCAAGTAAACAGAAATTCACAAAACGAGTTGTCATCAGTATGGGTACGAGTATCTGTTATTGGATTAGTTAGCTGTTGGCCACATGGATTAGTTGCTAGAGAGCCGAAACCACAGGTTGAGCAAGATTAGGTTAGGGCGTTTGCAGGGCGTCGACTTGTGCTGTTGCTATACATACTTATGCAAACGAGTATACCAAAACCAAACCAGCCACCTAGCTACACTACTGATCTTTAGCCTGATCGAGAGCAAAAACCGCAACCAGAAGCCCCAGAAAGCAGAAGCATAACTCGGTCTAGAACCGGCCAACTCACCCAGGACAATGATGAGCAGCACGACGGCGATCACGCCCAGGATGATCATCATCTTCATGTTGGCCCACCATTGCTTGCGCTTCAGCTTGCCGGCCTGCTGCTCGAACTGGGAGGCTCCCTGCTCCAGTTGGTCCGCCCGCTCTCCGAGTTCCGATAGCTTCTGGTCGCGCTCCAGGACCTTCTCCACGTTCACCCGCATGATCCCGACCACCTCGTCCACCTTGGCCTGGGTCTGCTGCAGTCGCTTCTGGGCCGCATTGTTGTTACTGATTTGGTGGTCATGGTATTGGTTGTAGTGGTTGTCGTTCGCGTTCGGCGGTGGCGGAAGTACGGGAAAACTATACAATATTATGTGTTTTTGGGGGATGCTTACACTTATAAAGAGTAGCAAGTCAGGGAACTGCAGCGTACAAAAGCAAGTGGGCTTGAGGGAAATATATCATCTATTTATACTCTCTCTCTCTGTTGCAAACGACGAAATAAGCAGATAAGAAGTTCTATGGATATCAAACATTCTTGAACATTATAAATATGTTTTTTTTACTATGATACACTTAAAACCGCTTTTTGCTTTACAAATTACTTAAAAGTTTTCAAAGTACAAAAGATTTCGATTAACATCTAGGTAGATGTAAAGGATTTAATAACTGAAATATATATTCAGCAGTTCCTAAGTACTTTTAAATAAAGTCTTATAAATTATGTTATTTCCGTTCTAACGGTAAACTATATATAAAATTGTTTGATAGGAGACTATTCTGTTTTTAAAGCTTTTAAAATTCCTATAGTTTAAATAATAATTTGAAGTAAAATAGTTATAGAAAAAAACTTTTGTATTTAACAACTTTTATAGGTACCGGTCTGGGGCATTCCAAAATTGGAATTTGAACCATAACTTAAGACCTATTTCCGGTTTGCTTTCCCCTAATTGAGTCAAATGACGTCACTTGATGGGGGATTTTCCTTTGCTTTTGTGCGCTGAGCCTGTTGATTCGATGGATTTCCACCACTTACTCGTTGTTGTTGGATCCGGAGGGGGGGGGGGCTTCGTTGTTCTCCATTGTGTGGCTAAATAGGGAAAAAGGAACCGAAGAAAGGCCGTTAATCGCAGTTTTATTAGTTGGAGTGCAATATCTCCGAAATACACACACCCGAAAGTACGCAGATTACAAGTCCAAAAAAAGAAAGAAAACAAACCGCAGCACACACCTTATCTATTTGGCCTATGAATCACTCGATTTAGAGAAATGCCATCACCATCGGGGCGAAAAAAGAACTTGTTGCATGCCGCGTATGCCAACAAACCGTGTTTATATGCTTGGAAAAACATCCCCCGGCCACCCACCACCCCCCGCACACTCACCTTGACAATGTTTATTAGAATACTGCTGTGTATTTCAGATTTTCCACGCAAAATATGCGGCTGCTTTTAAATAGCACAATTTTTTTTTATAAATATCAACTTGTGATCAGTGTGACCGTTGAAATATTAGAGCTGACACAAGCAGCAATTTGTATTCGATACTATCGTTTGGCCAATAAATTTGAACATCCGACGGTATATGAATAAAATTTATCGTACATTAAACTAATCATGTAAATCATTGGCTTTTATAAAATTATTATTGAGTTAAGACTGCCGGTGATAAAAACATCTTTATCTTCGTTTTAAAGATTCCCAATTATTTATTTAAAAATAAAATAATTTTATTTCTTAATAAACAAACCACCACGATCGCATGAAAAAAATACTTCTGCGTGATAAAACCCCAGACTCAAACCAGATAGTAGGAATTTATACATTTTGTGTAAGATACATGTATAATGTTCTAAGCCATGTATATTATTGCTATATGATAGAGTTTTCGTTACTAGTCGTTTTCACCTCGAGCAAATTTTTATCCATAATTATTACGGTAAAATTTCAAAGGCAGAATTTACAAAAGACAAAATTTAATTTTGTTGGAATTTTTATGACTCAAATTGCATTTTATTTTATCCATTTTTCTGCATTAAAAAATATAAAAAAGATTTAAGTTGTTATACCCTAATTTAAATTTTGCTTGAACTATTTTACATCTTTAAGTTCCCTGAATAAGAAGATATAAAAACGGATTTATGAATCTTCAGGTAACGAACGGAGAAATAAGTATGGAAAATGCATAACTCGCTGGTCTCGAAGTTGCTGCTGCGCCTGCTGCTGCTGTTCGCCTTGGTGACAGGTGCCTCCATTGTGGTTCTCACAAAATGTGGATTCGACGAACTTACAACGAGGGAAACGCAGTCCAACAATCCCAGTGAATCCAGCGGATTTAGCTACGCATTAAGTGAACGCGAGGCGGAAATTGAAAGGCTGAAACAAGAGGTCCTGGCACTTCGCACTCAAATATTATTTCTACAAAACAATCGAAGTGCTGGAAAGCAATCAAATGGCAGTCTTCAGTTACAGGAGACCACTGTGGGTCCACCAACTGCTCCTTTGGGTCACCACTACGACTGCAGTAGCTACATTCGAAAGCAGGTGGGCGCCGCAGAAATTCTCCACGGATTGCCATTGAACAACGAATACGAACTGATACCCTACAATCACTTCACTTTCACCCGGGTTTATCCCATTGATTTGGGACTGGGAAAACGGGTGGTGGAGAAACCCATTGGTTATCGAAGACGTGATCTCATCGAGGCTGTTAATAAAGCTCTGGAAAGCCTGAACAGGAATCATTCTGCGAGGATACGAGCAAAGGGAAATAATCCTGCGGGAGGATATTCTTCAGATGTGATAAAATACACACTGGATGACTTTGTGGAGGGCATTTATCGAAATGAACCCACTACAGGCACCCAGTATGAACTCTATTTCCAGAGTGTTAAAAACCAAGCGAGTCCTGTGAGAAGAGCCTTGGTCATGAGACCCTTTGCACCTCTGCAAACTGTTCAGCTATCGGAGTTATCTTCGATTGTGGACAATGGTAGTTCCAATCGGAGTCACAGTCCACCTGTGATCCATGTGATACTGCCTTTGGCAGGACGTCTGCACAGCATTCGCAACTTCCTGCAGATGTTCGGTAAACTGGACGATCGGCGATTGGAGCTCATTGTGGTGTACTTTGGAATCAGTGGATTGGCGCAAGCCAAACGTCTGGCTGGACGGTCTGAAAGAACTCAGTTTATAGCCCTCAATGAGACTTTTAGCAGAGGTAGGCGAATGAAAACTTTACCACATTTAAATATATATTTAAAATCATTTACGAATAAAAAAACGTTTGTTTTGATTTTATTTACAGCCAAAGCTTTAAGACTGGGAGCAGAGCATATTAAACCTGCAAGTGAGGACGTACTACTTTTCATGTGCGATGTTGACATTATGTTTACGACCAGATTTCTGGAGCGGTGTCGATGGAATGCCGCTCCAGGCAAAAAGGTAAATTGTAATTGAAAAATCTATATTTAATTATTTTAAGGCAATCTGTTTCCAATATGTATTTTACAGGTTTACTACCCTGTAGTGTTTAGCTTGTACAATCCGCATGTGGTGTACACTCTGCAGGGAAAATCCGTGCCCGGCGATGATGAGCAACTGGTGATCTCAAGGGACACTGGATTTTGGCGGGACTTTGGATACGGAATGACCTGTCAATACCGCTCGAACTTCCTACAGGTACGTGGTTTCGACGAGGAGGAAATCGTAGGATGGGGCGGCGAGGATGTGATGCTCTATAGGAAGTATGTCCGTTCAAAGATCAAGATCATCAGAGCCACCGATCCTGGAATTTTTCACCGCTGGCACACAAAGGTAAAGTAGTTTAGTTAACCTCTATTCAATTGAATTTATATAGCATTTATATGTTTTACAGATCTGCTCCAATTCGCTGACTGCCGATCAGTACCGCGCTTGCATTCGATCGAGGGCTTTGAACGAGGCCTCGCATGCTCAACTTGGATTCCTGGCCTTCCGGGATGATATAGCCGCAGCTAATGCTGCGAAAATGTTATCGTGATACTCGACTATCCCTCATGCATCGTTAATCGCTTGGCTACTCAATCTATGGCGAACATTATAGTGTGTGTGAAAGGACAGCAGTGATTAGTTAAAATTTAACAAACTAGGCGAAACAACTACACTTTATAATTTTAATACTTTTATAAACCAAAACGATAATAAAATCTTTTTGTTGATTTAAATGTTAGGAAAAAAATACAAATTTAAATATATATTTAAGAAATTTTGATTATAGGAATTTAAAAAAAATTATATTGTCAGCTCTTTAATTTACTATTGCTTTATTTATCATTACTTATTTAGTTTGTGATGTTTTGTTCCCTATTTAATTCAAGCCTAGCTCTAGTCTATCAATAAGTTTAAACGATTTAATTAGAAATATTCAGTAAACTCAAATCATTTGGAGCACTGCCATTTTCACACATGCCCAAACACATAATGTAAGCTATCAGTATGTACAACTTGAGACAATAACTCGTATTTAGCAGAATCGTTGAATTAGCTTAATTGTTGGTCTTGTTGCGCCCTCGAGAGTGCCACACACACAAACACACACTGAGATACAAACCGCACTGTACACAGACACATCACAAATTGTTCTTCCATGAAGCAAACTAGATGCAATCTCCAGAGCCCAAGGAACTATATATTTACGAGTACCATATCGAATCCGTAACTCAAACTGAGCCTAACAAATCTGCCAGTCTGTTGCTCGCTTTGTAAAAACTAAATTAAATCGTTTAATTAAACTTGTCGCCTGGTTGTTGTTTTATTTCGCTGGCTGGTTATGATTTTAATGGACGATGCCAACGACCTCCGCCAAAGGTTCACTGAGCATGCAGACCAAGAAGGTGATCCAAACGCCAAGCGCCACCTCTGATGTTTGGGGTTTCGATCCCCCATCATGAGTTTACATATTTTTTGTTTTTGGTGAGGTAATTTGTCATGCCTTGATAGAGGAAACTCTTTAACAGCAAATTGACTAACGGTTGGATCTGAAATGTTAAACAGACTTGTCGGGTTCAGAACTTATCAAATGCGTAAGAACAACAAATCATGTACTTATGATAAGTATTATTTTATGGGGATGAAATAAATACATTTAAAACAAAAAAAGTATTTAACAGAAATATATTTATAACTTCACAAGCCTGTTAAAATTTTATAACATTGGTAAAAAGGTTTTTCTTTAAAGTTTTCGAAAGAAAAATATATATCAATTGTATGAATTGAGGTATATTTGCTATTTTCAATTAAAAATGTTAACGCATTTTTATAATAATATGTTGGATAATATATTCATAAAGATTACAAATTAAAAAAATTATAATATTGGATTTGATGTTGAATTGTTCTAAAAACCTTGCCAAATTTGTTAACTTTTATCATAATTTAATTTATATTTTCCTTTATTCTTTAAATCTTTCGTATGTTGAGACCAGTTTCCCCAAGGGTATTACAAGTCTGCACTGAGCTCCACCTGATTTCTTAATTTGGGACGTCTTCAGGTGGAAAGCCTTTTCATGGTCACGGTCGCGAGTTGTGTAAGCGCTGAAAAGTGTTTTGTTCCAGTTGGAAGTGGAAATGCTAATCTCATGCTGAGTCTCAGAGACTCAACTCTCGGTGATTCACGGGCCGAGAAGCCGGAATAATCCGCGATAATTTCACAGGAGTGTTCTCTGGGGCATTACGCAACAGACGCATAATTAGCCCGCTTCTCGGTGAGACAATCAAGGCGTTTTTCGGGCACATCCTCCCTGTCATTCTCCGAAAGCCAAACTGACCATGAAACGAGAGAGGAGCCCCCAAGGTGTTGGAGCAGGCGAAGTGACAAATCGGCGTCCCAGCCCCTGTCAAAATAAAAAAATGCAAAGCACTGACTGCCAACACCTTAGCCACAAATGCCAGCGAACCACAGCCATCAGCAGCAGCAGCACCACCTCCACCACCAGCACCGCCGAAAGCCAAAAACCACCTCTAATAGCCACGATGATCCGGGGCTGGGATCGCGGTTCAGTGCTCTCGGCTCGAACAGAACAGAAGCTCGGGTTGGAGTTCAAATAAATACGGAGCCCCTCGTTCCGGCCAGATCATTCGCGGTCCGACGCCAGTTCGAGAAGCTTTGCCTCGTCTTCAAACAGTGTGAAAAGGATATTTTCGGTTAAACACCCAATTTTAAGAGGGGCACAACGCGTGCCAGGTGCAAAGTTCGTGATCGATTCGGTGGAACCAAGTGAGGCGGGGACACCATGCGTTCTCTCATGTTGGTGAGTTCTCAAGGCGGAAGTTATACCAAAGTATTGGGATACAACAAGTTCTTTAGAAATGCAATTAATAATTTTGCTTCATTAGGAAATAAAAAATATTCACTATTAAAAAAGCCAAAAAAAATGTGTATGCGGTAATACATTAATTAATTTGAAAATACAACAGTTTTAAATTTTTCAGACTATATTTAGTATACAATTTTTATAAAATGACAATCTTGAATGAAAAGTCTAGAAGATTAAACGATCATCTTTCTGCCTCAAATGCTCTGGTATGAATTTGAAAATTATATTACATTACAAAAAGAAAACTTCCTTAAATTAAATACATACAAAATCGTAGGTTGTCCAAAGCGTATAATAAATTATATAGATCATGTATAAAACATAATGATTTATTGTTCCTCAACAAAATACATACTTTAATCTACTCATGAAATTTAAAAAATATCAAAAAGTTTATTAATCAAAGTTTGAGAAGTAAAGTTAAAGAAAAATGTTCTAAAACCCTTAGTATGCTTGCTCAAATCCTGAAGCAATCATTAACGCTTTTTTCTATATTTTTTTTTTTTTTTTTGAGAATATGAGCTGTAGTATACAAATGAATTTTTAAGAGTGTAAACAGCTTGCATCATAATTCATTATTATTTTGCACATAAGCGAAAAACTACCCTCCTTAAAGACCCTAAAAGACTTCAAAGACTTAAACAGAGGGGAGCATAAATCAATTTCAATCTGTTCTTGATTTCCTTTGAAAGAGATTTCTTCAAAATAAGCGATCCACATTTACTGCATACACATACAGACTTCCTGTTGTCCCGCAATTGTTTTCTCTGGATCCCCTTACTAAACCTGACCCCGAAGTAAGGTTGTGTAACATTTGTAGAACACATTATGCAACCCCCAAAATATTACGATCATGTTATGTAAATTTGAGCAGACAGAAAGACAAAATTTCATTGGGACCCCAAAAAAAAGCCATTCATAAGTATTCGATGGCAACGACCCTCGGTCGGCGAAACAATTTGCCACATTCATGCACATATCTTTCGGTACTCGCTCGAAATATAATTATTCTAATGAAGTTGGCCAGAGTCAGTGACAAGTCACGTCGATCCAATCCATTCCCCACATGCCAAAGCCAACACCATCGCTTTGGCCGGAAGTTGTTCCTGATGCTTGGCTAACAAAGCGTGGCGGCCAGCTAGCTAAATATTTTCCATGATTAACTCGGCTTGGGCTGGCCATTCTCGAAATTTTTCGGCTTTAACATATGCCACTGGAGTTATGATTTCAATTCCCATTCGGAATCTGAATCCGAATCTGAATCTGATTCATGCAGCCATGAACCGGGCTCAGAAATGATGTCAATGCTATTCGGCCATCCCCGTGTACTTGTTGCTGCGCCGCTTTCGGCCTGGCCCAAAACCCATTGCATAATTGGCGGGGGAGCTGATCATATTTCACGCCGACTGGCCACGCTGTCGTCCGTTTTAGTGGTGTTCATCTGTGGGCGGAGGGCGCCTGGCTCTTTGTGCTCTCTGCCCTCCTCAATTACGATCGCAGGGAGGCTGTCGTGGAGCTCTGTGCTTTCTGGCCCAGTTGGCCGGCGAACCGTGAGATATGTATTGGCTGGCTGATTCCCCGGCTCAGCAGATTGCGATACCCATTCAGCATTCAGCAGATAGCACTCAGCACTCGGAGGCAATTAAAACCAATCAACTAATGGCTATCGCGCTCCCGTTCGCTTTAGATTCCCCCACACACACATAATAAAGTACTTATCTGGGTAATCAAGAACTATAAAAAGGATCTTATCAGCGGCTTTAGAAATGAATTGGGGTCGCATTATTTATTGGAGGTTAATGAGTTGGGCTTACTTTTTAAAGTATATTTATTTGTACATTGTTGAGTTTTTATAAGCTTTGGGATAACATCATAAACCAATAGAAAAGTCTTCAATTACAACACGTTTTTTAACTTTTAACTGATATAAAGATTTAAATATTTATTAAAATAAATGAAAATATTAAAATAAATGAAAATATACAACGTTTTCTTGTAAATCTATACTCAACCTTATATTTGTAATTAGAATAAATAAATCTAGGAAGGAATGTTATCACTGTCTGAATAATTTATCTGGTAATCCATTGATTCCGTAAAATTAATATTTCTCAAGAAATTTCCAAGTATTACTAAAAATTTCACATTTTTTGGTCTGATCTTCTTTAGTTATCCTGCCTGGCCCTGCTGGCTTGCGTCCAGGCAGCGGTGACAGGACCGGAGGCTCGTTCCGGTCTGGACTCCAAGGATCAGCAGCTGGCCACAGCAAGTGTAGGCATCCTTGACTCTGTGCTCCGAGGAAAGAGTCGCCAGTCACGTTGTGTGAGATGCTACGAGGATCGGGACAGAGATCGCTATTATGGTGGATACTCCAGTCGATCGGGAGATGATTCGCGTAGCAGTGCCTGGTATTATTCCGGATACGATGATCGCAGCAGCAGTAGGGATCGCGACTACGATCGGTACTACGATCGATCGCGTTATTACGATGATCGTTATACCCCAAGGACTTATGATCGATATGAGGGTCGGGGATACGACGATTACAGAAGGGGATCTGGATATGGAGGATCTTACGACAGGGATCGCGGATATGGATACGACAACAGGGATCGCTACTACGATCGCTATAACGAGGGATCATCCAGGGGTATGTAAAACTAATAACCCCAGAGAAATTCAGTCAATTAAGTAAGCTTTTATTTTTTTTATTACTTACTGTGCTAAATATTTTATTTTTTTTAAATTTAAAGCTTGATTTTTTTAGTACCTTATTTTTTTTTGGTTTTCTGTTTCTATAGTAAATTCATTTTTGAATCTTTATATTTATTGCTGGATATACTTGCAGTTCTGTTTCTGAATTCCTATACCTTATTTATCCTTCTTAGACCGCTACTACGATCGCTCGAGGTCCAGCTACGATCGCTACGATCCGTACGATCGCTACTACTCCAGGTATGATTTTCGCAACTATCGCCCTTGGGATGAGACCTACAGGTATCGTCGCACTCTATTGTGTATATAACCAAAATCGATGTTGTCTGCTATCTCTGCATCTTTGGCTTTTACTCTCTACTTTCATACAACAACTCAACAACACGCAAAACAACAACAACAACCACACCAACATCATGTACAACAACAACTTGAACAATACACCACACAACAACAACACTTTGGACACTGCGGATGATCCACGGCTGGAAATACCAATCCAAAAACAAAATCCGTAATGCACCCCAAATGCACTCACTATTTTCCGCGCAAAAAAAACTAAATTCCGTATCCGCCCCGTTGACTCCCACTCGACTTCCGCCTCCGCTTCCGTTTGCCAATCAACACCTTCGAAATGAATCAGAGGACAATCCGGTTTCGATAACTCCGGACGTGGCTACTACTTTGCTGGTGATGATGATGATATGGATAGTGGCAGGAATCGAGGCTACGGATATTCCTATTCCCGACCATCCTCCTCGATGAGTTCTCCTTGCGGTCGCATCTCCGGAAATTGTCCCTATTCCGGTGGCTCCAAGGTAACCTCCTCGGCCATTGGAAGCGACAGTTCCCGAGTGGGTGGCCACACCAATGCCATCGGATCGGATGGCGGTCCTGGCAGTTGGACATATCTGGGGGATGATAAAACCATCGGTGGCAGCAGCAGCAGTGGATCGAGCAGCAGCAGCGGAAGTGGCAGCAGCAACGGTTCAAGCGGCAGCGGCGGCAGTCGGGAGCGGGAAAGGGAGAGGGAGAGGGACAGGGAGCGGGATGCACAGAGGTAAGTTGCAGTGGGTGCTGCCCCTGCAACAGCAACAGCAACATCCACACACTCAGACAAATTCAAAAACCTTAGATTTGAGAAAAATCTTGAAACTTTATAATAAAAATTCAGAGAAAAATAACTACTTTGACATTCAGCACAATTTAACAAACCGATTAAAAAAAACATTTAAATAATGAAATATCCAAATCATTAATCATACAAAAATAATTATACCTCATACAAGAAACTGTGTTAAATGACAAAACTGCATTTGAGAATTTTCAATTTAATTCATTTATAAAATTGTGAATATTCAAAGTTAAAAAGCTACGATTTACTAAGATTTTTATTGAGTACTTTTATAAATAGTTGGCATTTAAAATTTATTAAAAAAAGTTTTATATGCAGTAAGAAAAAGTAAAAAAGAAATTTAATGAAATGTAAAAAAATCAATATTTTCAAAGTTCAGAATTTCATATTATTTTAAGAATAATTTTTTCATTTATAATTTTTCTATTGTAAAGTCAAAGTTTATTTATTTGTTCTGAGTGCACCCACAGTTGATCCCCGCACGGAATCGAATCCGGAATCGGTCACGGCATTAAGATAGGCTTGCTCTCTTGTCGCCCCTTGTAGCTCTTCCTATGGTGGCCGACCACGTCCTCTAGGCGTTAGCTATCTGCTCGAACGGGACGCGGACACACCGTCGGACGGTCCAGGGAACACGGCGAATTCCGCCGGCAATGGTGCAAGTGGTGGTGGTGGCGGTGGAGGTGCCAGTGGTCAGAGCATGCCCGTCCCAGCTGCCCAGACAGCCGCCGAGGGAAGTTCCGGCACCGCTAAGCAGTAACTGGAAAATGGAAACCGGAACGAGATCCCAGTTGGAGTCCAAGTCCAGGAACGGATGCAATGCAGCGGCTGGGAGAGATGTCCGCCCGGTGGGCGTGGCAGGGCTTAGTGTAACCTACCTTCCGTATTTATGTGTAATTCGTAAGATAAGTCTCCAAAGAAACTATTTATGTGTGTGGCACAGCTTTGCTCAAAATAAACAAACTTCAAAGATCCTCAAAAATTGGTTTTTGTATGAATAACGAAAACAAGTGGTGTTTTTATTTGGAAGTACAGTTTACTTTATTGTTCAAATGTTCAATGCTTAACTAGGAGGTAATACATTTGTTTATATTATTATAATAAACTTCTTTTTGAGATACCCTGAGCACCAGTTATAAAGAAAATTAAGAGTCAAATCAAAAAAAAAAAAAAAAAAAAAAAAAGTCAAAATAAAAAATCAAACTCAAATCCAAAAAAGGCCGAGAGAACGTAAAATACAACTAAGATAACGTTATTAAATAATAATAAATTGTATAGATGAATTGAAATGAAAATAATTTAAATATATTATAAAATAAACAATAATAATATTCATACTAAAACAAAATTTTAAGAATGACAATAAAAAAATGGGAAATGATAAAATAAAGAAGAAGAACATAACTAAGAAAATAAAAAAAATAATATTCAAAATAAATAAAAATGTTAATAACAAAAAAAAATACTTTAAAATTTTAAGGTAGCATAAAACAAAAGAGTAAAATAATATAAACAAATGAATACATAATCAAATAAGTGCTAAATCGTGACTTCAAAACGAATTCACAAACATAAAAGAATAAGAATTGAAAACATAAAAATATAACAACTTTAAAGTAGTAAAAACAAATACATAATAGTTTTATAAAGAAAACTTATAAAAAATAAAAAGTAAAGGAAGTGGGCAATATAACACAATATCGCACAACTGATAAAATGAAATGTAAAAAGTTTTATAAGCTCAATAATATAGTCAAGCCAAAAACATTGAAAAAGAAAAACAAACTGAAATTTTAAAATAAATTTCCCAAACTTGTCAATTAAAAAAAAAGGATAAAAATAAAAACAGAGAAAAAATTATTTACAAAATATACTAATCAAAATCATTAAAATCATAAAAATTTACAATAAAAAATAAAACAAGCTCAACTAATTTCAAAAAATTTAATAAAAATACATATGTATTTTAAATAAAATAGTAAATATTGAATTAAATTTTAAGTCCAAAAATTAAAGAATAATAAGAAGAATAAAACAATAAGAATTCAAGTATAAAAAAACCAAATAAAATGTAAAAATAAATAAAAATGTAATGATCAAAACCAAATAAATGTTTATAACAAATTAAAACACAAAAGCTAAAATTCAGAGGAAAATATAAAAATAAAATAAAATTATTTTAAATAATACAGATAAAGGCCAAAAAAATAATGAAATGAAAACACTTACCAAATCCGAAATCATGAATCAATAAAATCACAAAATAGGTATAATTAAAAACATACCAATGATAATCGAATAAACAGAATATAAATAAAATCAAAATCACAGAACATTTTAAGAAAGTAAGTCAGAAATTAAGTAAAATAAGTAACAGCTCGGGGACCTCATGTTTTAAAAACAATTATTTATCAACAAAAACATGCCTTGCTATTGGCAATATACATTGAGCAAACTTTCCTGAGATTTCTTGTAGTTTAGAATCATTTGATATGGAAACCTTGGTCAAGGATATTGTTAGACCAACAAATTTATAGCTTTCAAATTGATTTAACAAAAAACATCAACAAAACTAAAAAAAATGGGAACTAAAAAGGCACAAAAAAATTTGTAACTAAAATTGAGCTTTGTAAGTTTTTAATCTGGAGTACTTATTTTAAATTTTTTTGGAAGATTCATTCTTTTGCTGGTAGTTGGAAGGATCATCCTGAAGCGGTCTTAAAAATCCAATCCTTATTGAGAAGACAATGAATATAAAAAGTTGTGCGGATGTGTTGAATATGACATAAATTAAGCTGAGTTTAATTTGTAGCATTCATTCAAATCAAGAGAATTGCCAAGAACTCTTCAATGAATACTTTTTTAATATGGTTGTCTGCATTAACTTTCGAACCTAACTATTGTCTTAGTTATCGCAAATGTTTAAATCTCAAAACATAAAAAACAGTTTCCGTTTTTTTGTAAAGCACAAACATGGTTTTTGTTATTCGGATGACGTGCCTTTTTTCGGATATTTTTAGAAAGCGTCTTATAACACCATTATGTTTCGCAACTTTGTTGAACTGTCGGTAGAGTCAAATATTTGCTTTAGTTTACGGGATAAGCCAGACTTATCTGATGATTCATTGGTTTTGTATCGTCTTGTTGAACTCGAGTACCGTTTGCGCTACATTTCCTGTTGCTTTTCTAATAACAAAAGTTATAACCGAGTGTTTTCTGTTGAGTGAGTTATTATCGTTGTTTTAGGCTTGTATTCCTGCAATAGGAAAACCAAGTCGTTGTAAAATCTATTGTAAGAACTTTCACTTCTTGAATACTTACATAAATGCACAATAGATTGACTTTGAAGATATTTTCAACTTTTAATTGGTTTTTAATTAACAAACTTTAATTAACGGCTGAGGCCGCCACGCCAAACGGCCACGCCAAGCGGCTTAGCGATCTTCTCGCTCGATGTCGTGACTCACTGGAACTTCAGACTGAACTGTGCTGTAATGCCGATCCGATCGGTCTTTTATACTGTGCGGAAAATCCACCACCATCGCTAACCAATGGAAAATACTTTCGCATGACGCAGGCGTGCCGGCAGAGGGGGAATTTTTAAATAAAAACTCTGGAAGGGGGTACGATTCTGGATACTGGGAACTGAGAACCGAGAACCGGGTGCGTGCCGTTGGCCCATAACAATAATAAAAACGAGGGTTAGGCTCAAGGAATGAATTGAATTGGAAATGTTTATTTCGTTTTTATGCTGGTATGTCGGCACTTCTTGGCTCCGGATTCCGATTCCGATTCCCGGTGGAGGGTTACCTCCGGGTCGAGTTATGTCACCCCCGGATCGGCCGACTTGTGTCTTGTGGGAACCGAACTGATCTGGAGCTACCAGTTGAGTGCATAGTAATTAGTCAAGATTTCTCCCGTTCGCTTTCTCACGCTCCTGGGGGTTTCTTTTGATCCTTTGGCGAAAATCCCCCGTGAGGTGTTCACCCAAATGTTTTCTCAAAGGAACTGATAACAAAGCCACTGAAATGAAGGTAGGGGTATCTATTATATGTTAGGGTGGTTTTTAGTGTCAGCTTCTGTGCCAGTTTGCCAACTACTGGTAGCTCAGTTATGCTGGTTGCATTTAATTTCATTTAGGACTCTTGTGGGATCATCAATTAGACATGATTTCGCTACTGGCAGAATGCGGGTTGAGGATGAGCCAAAGGTGCAGCTGCAGGGGACCGGGGATCTTAAAAACGCTCTAGGGGACCTTGTGTGGGAGATTTGTACAGTACTTAAGTGTAATTAAAAAAATTTAAATCATGAAATCAAATGAATGAATTCCCATTTAATTATTTTTAATGTGGGATTTTAAATAAATAAATAATCAACTTTTTTCTACTCAATCAAACAACTTGAATTATTGGGAATTAGAATTTATTCAACATTATATTATTTAGAGCAAAGGGGAAATCTCGACCTTTTTGTAAAGGTACTAAATTATCTTTATTTTAATCTGCATAATTACACTTTAGTTCTATTTATAAACCAAACAAAACCCAATCAATGAGCATACTGTCTGTACGTTAGTCTAATTACATGGACAATAAGAACCTTTGTCTACAAATATTTGTTGGCAGAAGAGAAGTTTGCTGTCTGGGAAACTCTCAAAAAAAAAAATATATGAGAGCACGTTTTCTACCTGTGCAACACAACAACAAGGTGCGTATCAATTTTTACGATAGCACATCTTATCAACGGAACCCAGTTGATAAGAAATGGGAACTCAATGGCAGGCAAAACAATAGTTTTCGGTTTAGTTCCTCTCCGTTTAGTTTGTAGTTCGGTGGTTTTGGTTCCGTGATTTCCCGGCAGTTGGGGAAAATGCGTAAAATTTCCTTCTGGCAGCGTCCAAGAGTGACGCACTTGGCGTTCCTGGTCTTCTTCGTATATGTTTTCCTTCTCTTCGGTTTTAAATTCCTACAAGTGAGTGTGACAAATTAGCTGCGTTCTATTAGCTACAAATAGTCTCTGTCAAAACACATCCGGACCTCCCTTAAGTACTTAATGGTTTGAATAATTAATATTTTGCTTTGAGTAGCGCAATTTGCAAATAAATAATTAAATAGACAAATTTCTTGTTTATATTTAAACATGTTGTGAAGGAAAAAAACAAAAAGATATAAATGAACAGTGCTATGTAGCTTATACTTTATGGCCGAAAAATTTATTTATTTGTAGTTTTTTTTTTTTTGAAAATAATAATAAACAGGTTGTTGTCTCGTTTAATAGTGTGCATCGAACGGGGTATATATGTTTAAAACAAAAGTACAAAAACGTACATAAGGTAAACGCTTCGCAAAAACCAAAATAGAAAAAGATATAGGACAAAAAAATATTTGTTTCCAACTCTAAGCAAATTTCCTTTGAACCACAACTTCCAAAATGGGTAAAGAATTCAAATAAAAAACCTTTGCGGACTTAAAATAAAAATGCGGAGAGATTTACAAATTTGACGTTTTGACCCACTGTGCCCGTATTATTTTAACTGAAGCATCAAGTGGTCAACGCCTTCGCTCACTTTCGATTCTCGGGTCCAAGACAAATGTATTAAATGCGGCAATTATACATAAACATGTGTCCGAATAAAAGAAAGGCGCGTTGGTGTGTGTGTGCTGGCATGTGGCTATGTATAATTGATATATTTTCATTCTCAATAATAAAAGTGGAGGATGTTGGCCGTATTAACTTAAAAATAGCTCGCAAAGGCGACGCTGACTCACTCGAAGCGGCAGACATGGACATGGACACTCCAATCGAGAGACAAGCGTACAATTTATTAAGTTCCCCCCTTCCCCTCCCCACCCTTCCCTCATCGCCAACAATCATTCACCCAACGCCACCCACTTTTGGGGGGCGTAAAGTACTCTTACAAGGCCCTCGAACCTCTGCCGCCGCGCTGCTGCTGCGCAGTCGCTGCGCTGCCGGGGGCAGCCGCCATTTGATGACAGCGCTCGTGGACTGAGGCGCCAGTTTGATGCGAGGCGTGCGTTGATTAACTTGTTGCATACGCGTCCTGGAGAAAGGCGGAAAAGCGGGAAAACCTCTTGCCCCACCCCCACAACCCTCGTTAGTGCACGGTGGAAAATTCCTTAAATTGCGCTTAATCGCCAGTTAGAAGGGCAACTGTGATACCCTTAAAGGGAACTTAAAAAAAATACAAAAATAAATTTAACATTTTCAAAACAAATGAATTTGTATGAAAAACCTTGTGATACAATAGTGGGGGATATATTTACAATGTTAATTTACCTCAAATGCTCTGAAGAATAATAAGTAAAAACCACAATTAAAAGTGTTATCAAATTAGGAGTGCCATAGAGAGACCATTTCAAGACCATTCCAAAAAAACTCCTTTACATTCCTTTAATTTCATTATAATCAAAAGCTTATAAATTGAAAGCATTTTTAAACCATTTGTGGAGGCTTTTCCATCTGAGCTGGATAATGACCTTCAACTGATAATGACCTTTAAAATTTATTTTTTATGTTAGCTCCCTTATAACCTATGGTAATAAAATCAATGTTTTTTTTTATTAAATGCTTAGGATGAAGGCATCTTCTTTTTATAAAAATTTCATTATAAATTATTTCGAATAGAACCTTGACATTTTCGGACCTCCAAAGTGATATATGTATTTGGTCTATTTTGAGTGCTTCTGAGTGGACATGTGGGATTAAAAAGCTGTAATTTATCACCTTATCAGAGAAGACGAATACCCATCGCGGTTTCTTTCTGCCAGTGTGTGTGAGCCATAATTATTGGCGTTCTGTGGGTGAACTTGCGGCTGACTGAGTGGGTAGGTCGGTGGTGGAGTAGAGTGGTTTCAAAGGTGGCCAAGAATGCGGAGGTCGGGCGGCAATAGATGGTGATGACACTGAGAAAGACGCCCCCACAAGAAACACAAGAAACGGGCGACAAGCACACACACGTGTTATCGCTAATCGATGGCCGGCCATCAAGAACGCTAAGCAAATAAGCAACAGGAGCCGCTTGGGGTTGACCCACGCCTCGAAGGCCCCAACAAGTCCGAGAATCACAACAGCCGAGACCCCCAAGACGTCGCCGTCTCTGCCGCAGTCGACGTCGCAGTCGGCGCCCACGCAACGCGCGGCTAGAAAATAAATAAACAGCGTTAGTTGCCGTCGGCGATTCCTGTGGAGCGGAGTCCCGAGCGCTGAGTGCTTTTCCCCCACCCACTCGTGAAATGCTGGCCGCCCAGGAGAACCGCTTCCAGCATGTGTACTTCGCACTTTCTGGTCTCGTGGCGAGCGCCATTCTCGTCCTGGTCTACATCTCCATGCGCTCGAGCCTTGTGAGTGTCGAGGATTTCCCTTTAAAACCTGTTGTCCTTGTACCTTTTAACTTATCTCCTTGGTCATTTTTCTTTCTTGCAGAACGAGCGACTGCGCGAGGATCTGGCCAAAACACAGCGACAGCTGATTTTCGAGAGACCCAATCCGCACTGGGACTACAGCAACAGTTGGCGCAGCATAGGAAACACCTCTCTCAGGCACGAGATTTACTCGGCTTACTTCGATGCCAGGACGGATATCATAGGTAAGATTTCCAATAAGTATTGGACTATTACTGGCCAGCTGCTTTCACAATAAATCAATGCATTTTTTTTTTTGCTAGCAAACTATATTCAATAATATCAATAAATATATAAATTATTTATTAGTAATTACCTTGACTTTCGTTAAAATTTGATCAAATTCGAGCTTAATATATTTTAATATTTATATATTTATACGTTTATTCATTTAAATTGAAATCAGAATTTATTTTTTTGGCCTTTACCTTTATTGGACATAAAAAACATATTTTATTATTTTGTAAACATCTGTCTTCCGATTAATGATGTTTTTATAGTGCTGAAGTATACATCGCTGTTATAATGAAAAACAAGCATTACTATATATTTTGAGTTTAAATAATCCTCTTTAATATTGTTTTTTTTTACCTGTTTATTTACAAACACTTTAAATAACATTTATTTATTATTTTTATTTAGGAAATGTCCGCCTGGATGAGGAGCAGATGACCATTGGGTCGCTGCGAATCTTCGCCATTCTCCCAGAGCGCCTGCGCGACTCCACGGTGAGTTGCATCGTGCGATTCTCCGACTTCACGAGTCAGGAGATTGTTGCCGAAGAAGCTGGGGCCATGCACGATGTTCACAACAACACCTTTGCGGCGTGGAGCATAATGTGTCCACTGCACGCCTCCCGCCGCGCCCCCATGCGATTGCCACAGGCTGTGGCATTGGCCTACGCCTCCAACAGACTCAGCCACCTTAGTCCCACCTTTATCCAGATTAGGTAGGTGCATCATGATTATTATAAAATATGCATACCATCAAACTATCATAAATGGATCTCCAATAACAAACACAACTTAGCAGACTTAAGTTTTAGTTTTTGATCATTTAAAATCCAATTGGATATTATTTAAAATACATTAATTATTTTAATTTGCATTGCTAATAAAACCTTTTCTTATTGTTTTCCCACAGTTATCCTCGCAACATGACTAGTCTATTTACCCGATCCCGTCCAACGATCTCAGTGTGCGTGGGTCCCCTGCAGGAGAACTACTCGAATGTCCTCCGTTTGGTGGAGTTCGTGGAGATGTACCGCCTCCAGGGAGCCACTCACTTCTACTTCTACTACGTGGATGCCAGTGAGGAAGTGCGTCGGGTGCTGGACCACTACCAAAAGATTGGCTTAGCCGACGTCTTCGAGTGGAATGTCCAGTCGCACCTGCAGGATCTCCACTACGCGGGAATAGTTGCCCAGTTCAACGATTGCGTTTATAGAGCAAATGTGGTGGACAACTATCGATATGCGGCGGTTGTGGATCTGGACGAGGTGGTGATGCCACTGAAGCACAATTCCCTGGCGGATTATCTGCGTCAGTGCGATGAAGGTCGCACGGCGGGCTTCGTCTTCCGGAATGTGTTCTTCCACCGAAGGGACAGCAATGACACCTTTAATGCACCCGCACATGTGCTGAACAGATTGCTTTACACCCAATCGAAGGTGAGGAGAACTTTGGAGGTCCTGCCTGCTTACATAAGGAGCAAGGTGGTGGTGAATGCCAGGGCCATTGTGGAGATGGGAAACCACCAGGTTTACCGCGCTGCTCCTGGATATGCGGATCATGTGGTTCACCCAACGGTGGGTTTACTGTTCCACTATCGTGACAAGTGCATCAACTGCAAGATGGTGCTGATTGTGGACTACACGGCCAGGAGATTTGGATCGCTGCTCTTCGACCGCGTGGACAACACGTGTTTGGAGGTCTTCCTCAACCGCGGCATCTGCGATCTGGTGTAGAACGCCCCGAGTCTGCGTTTCGATCTCCGACAGACGCCCCCTAAAAAACCAAAACCAGAGATCTCGCGGGTCAGTTGATTCCGTGGCCCCAGCCCGTCGACATGCTGAAGTTCTGCTCGCTGCGAAGGGGCAAGGAGCCCTCGATTGGGGCTAACAAAGTGGCCAAGAGTGTACGACAAATTAGAATAAGTTCTAGCTGTTCGCATCTAAGTGTTATGCCGTAATAAAGCGCGCTTTAAGTGATTTGTGATGTAATCCGAAGTGTTTGTATTCCGTTTCTCCCCACTTTCATCCCCAATCCGCTGGCCATCCAATCCATTAGTCATCGCTGCGACTGAAGGATGTCCCGCTGAACGACGCCCAACTGCTTAAAGTGCTCCACGCTCAGCGGGAACGAGGTCCTCTGATTTTGGCCCTGAGCAGGTGAGCGATTGGGAAAGAATTCCTTTCCCGAGGAGGTGAGAGAAGAGAGAACTCCCCCTTTTTTGGATTTCAGTGCGGGAAGTCCAGCGGAAAGTTGCCGGAAGTGCGGAACCCCCTACGAAAGCCGTCAGGTGGTTGCAAACGGAACAACAGGTGAGTGGTTCAAGGGTTCGAAATAATTTAGCTTTCTATACTTAACTGAACTTTGCTTGCCTTACTAAAACTGTATACTAACGTGTCACTTAGTTAGTTAAACATTACGGTTTAGAACTATCGCAAAATGACATAATTTATTTCATGAAGTCCAGTTCGTAAACATTTGTGGCTATATTTCCTCCCCTAATTGCGCAAATCATTTAAATCGGGTCTGCCAAATGACAATTATATGACAAATATTCTCGTGAGATTAACCACAACAAAACAATTATGCACTTTTAAAAATCCGAAGGGGAGTTTTAAGTAAGTGGGAACTCATAACCTTGTGGTAAGGATTGCGTGATAAGGTTTTGTTTAAGCAAATTTTTTGGTTACATATATAGTATGTTAAAGCACTGTTTTTAGGAAGATTAAAACAGATTAAAAGATTCTTTGTATAAATATTTGTAATGATCCACAAACATTAAAAAAAAAAACACAAACACTACCTTATTTGTTAAATGAAGGCTCTAAAAGCGCTACTAATTAGTTTTCTTCAACAATGAAAAGTTAATTCGTTTTGTTCATAAAACATGTCTCTGCATAAACGAAAGGAAACCCATAAACAGTTTAGTGGGAAAAGAACAGAGCGGAGAACAGTTCGCTCCCTCGCAAATGGTATTGGAAAAATAATAACTAACAGTGCACGCCGAAGCATTTCAAAGCGAACCCCTTTCAGGGACCCTCCCCTTCACTGTACCCCCTCTACTCCCCTCTCCTCGATTCAACCCCCTGACAGCGCCTCTGTCCATCTGTTGGAGCTTGACGACGCGAACGACGCGCCGATGACAATGACGCTGGCATTATGTGTTTACGGCGGACTGTGACAGGCGGGGGCGACGGGGGTGACATGGGCGGGGGTTCCGGGAGTCGGGGGAGGTGCGACCCCAGCATAACGGGAGGGTGCGGAACGAGCGGTCACTAACTAAGCCGGCAAAACGTAAAAAACCAAATAAAATCAACTTAATGCGAGTGCAGCTAGAAAAGTAGTTGGGAATTGTAAGGAGATATAATACAGTTTTAATATTTGCTTTAGATATTTAGTTAAACATATGTTATTATTATGCAATTATTTTGAAAAAAAATAATGGGAGACTCTTTTTAAAATTTTATTAATTGTTGCTTGTCTTTTTGCTATATTCAACTAAGTTAAAAATGTATCTTGATAGGTATGAATATTTTGCTTCGATGCATTAAAATCGTAATATGTGAATATGTGGTATAATACCAATCACCGTAAAACAATTTGTTCGTAAAAAACCAGAACTATAAAGTTCGAGGTCAGATAAAAACAAAGATTTTATTGGTGATTAACATTTATACTATCCGTTAAGATATAAATCACAAGCCGATAATATAAGTTAATGGATACCGAGAACTCTTTGATCGCCCCATTACCATAAGTACTATATGTACCACCCGCTATGTCGTCATCGTCATTCATCGACTGCCTCCGCTCCAGACATATGTCTGTTCCCGTCGACCAGTGGCCATAGTGTTCATGTGTGGGTGATATAGCCCCTGCAAGTCCCGGTTCCGATTCCAGTCGTAGTCGCAGTCGCAGCTTCAGCCCTAAACCAGATGCGCACATGCTGCCTCACAATGCACTGACAATGATTGGATTCTTTTGTTCTGTTTGCTGCTGGCCAGGCCTCGTACCCTCTCTGCCCCGCTTTCCCCTCCCCTTTTGCCCCTCTAAAATGGCCCCACCCCCACTCAAACTGACCCCCCGACCCTCGCTGTGCATTTGTGTGTGAATTTATGCATACAAATTTGAAAAATATCGGATCTGTGGTTCGTGCCCGCCGAACGCAGAACGCAAATCGGGGAAACGACGACAAAGTCACTGAGAATTAAAGAATTTAAAGTGTTTGGGAATTGGAATACCCTAGATTCACTTAAGCAATTAGATTCACAATTTTTTTAAAAGCAAAATTATAAAATAAACGTTCTTAAAAATTTTATTTAATTCTGTATATATGTACTAATCATTTCGAAGTTCAGATTTTTATTAAACCCAAAAGATAAATGAAACAAAATTAAAAAATAAAGTATAAAACCTTATCCCATGTTTGCTTTAAAAACTTTATACATAATTATTTTTTTATGTTCAACTAAAATTTTTTTAAGATTCTCTAGAAATTTTGCAATATATTTATGTAAATACACAAATGCAACATAATTTATGATAAAGGAACTCTAAAATAAATGATATTCTTTGTACCATCCACAACTTCTACAAATTTACATCAAGATCTAATCGTTCTCCTGCCACCAACGACTTTATGAATGAATTTCTTTGTTGTGGCCACTCCCCCTGCCAAGTTAATCTTTATAAGCTCAATATACCCTCTCACCCTACGACTACTGGGTATCGCCATGGCAAAACATCAACAAGTCACGGCTCTAAGCCGGCTACATCTACAACAACAACTACCAATGCAAACAGCAGAGACCAGTCCTCACCCACCACTCGCCGTCGACGTCGACGCAGACGCCGTCAGAAGCAGCGACAGAGGCTGGAGCAGCGACAGCAACAAGTCACTAATCAACAGGCGACTTTTGCTCTCTGCTTTCGCAGCTGCTGCGCTGCTTTAGAGCTGCTTTGGCGCTGCTTTGGCGCTGCTTTGGCGCTGCTTTGGCGCTGCTCTTGCTCTGCTTCTTCGCTGCTTAGGCTCTGCCCGCTGCTGGCGTGCTTTTCGCTTTCGGTGTGTTGGTGTTATGCGATACGATACCGTATTCCCCCAGCGATTTAGTTACTACAGAAGTTTTGCCAAGTCAAGTTGTCGCGAGCGAAAATCTATATATTTTCGCCAGCTTTTTGCGGGCGATCGTTCAAGTTCAGTGGCGAAAAAAAGATAAACCGTGAACAGTTAAGACGGGCGCGTGAAATGTATTAGTTTACCGGCTACCGTTGGGTGCAAAAAAAAGTAACCAATTAAAATCAGGCCAAACAAAGTGAGTTACCCGCAATTCTCGTAATTTAAGCCACCCCCATTCACAAAAAGAAATCCGTTCAGAGCTTGAGTTTGGCGCCCTTTTTATGTGTTACTGGGCCAAGATGGTATTGACCCAGTATTACCAGTTAAAGTGTCAAACCTTCTTGGCTTCATTACGTATTTAAATCAATCGAGCAGCATTTGATTATCGGGATCCAATTTTAAATTCCGCTGATAGGCAAATGGAGACCCAATTTGGGTTAATCATTGACTGTGCGTCTTGTGATAATAATACCCTGAAAATGGCACAAACTGCTGTGTTATATATAGAGTATATCGCCGTATATAGATCTGTCTGTGCATATGTGATTTTTTTAATTCGTTTTAAATTATACAGTGCAACCCTTTTCCTCCGTTGGTCATAGTTCAATTAAGTCGCTAATGACCGGATGTTGGTGTTGTGTTTGTGCCCGTGTGCGATTGGTGTGTGGTTGTGCATGCAAATGAATGCGGGAATGTGTGTCCCGGAATTCGGGTTTGATTTAATAGTGAAATTATATTTTTTAAAATTAATTTCGCCCCAGTGGGTCAGCTCGAATTGAATTCATAATTCAATTGGCGACCGGCACTCCCCGAGTTCGCTCACGATTAATTAAAATTCACCATTCGGCATTCGGCGTTCTTCTATCGCTGAAATGAAAGAAAGCCAAGGCAAATAGCGAACACTGTCTATGTACTATTATTTATTCGGCTTTTGTTTACCGTTCCACGACGTCGACGACACACATATTTTTGATAAGCAGCCTCAGCTGGCGAAAAGTCAAAATTTTTTGTTATTACCCTATGTGTATGTTTGTGTTTGTGTTTTGGCTTGGCAAATAAAAACACACATGAACAAAAAGTTATTGTCAATTGCTAAAAGCGATAAAAAGACACTAAAAGAGCGAGACAGAATCATCAGTCCGATTATGACTGTCGGGAAATGGAAAATGTTTAAAAAAATATTATTTAGGCTGGCGGAGAACAGTTCTACACATTTGTAGGCCTATTAAATAGTCTAAACGGTTTTACTACCACTTTACACCACCATAATGAATACCATAAAATCGGAATAGACTGCTTGAGTATTTTTCCTTGTTTAACTATATACAATCATTTATAATCAATATGTACTAGCGAGAACCTTTCAAAGCGACAAGCTCTTTGTTTACTTCAATCGATTATAAAAGAAAGGCGACCTAGTTAAGAGGCTCTCCTAAATTTTTAACTAGCAGCTGTTCTTTGTCCCAAGACAAGTTACTTATAACTTGTACACAATTTAACGAAATTATTATCATCGCTCAATGGTGACTCAATCAAGTGCGGTCATTGGCTCGGGGAACACTCCCCAATAAATTGGGAGCCCTTTGAGCTGGCTTAAACCATAAATTTCGGTTGGGAGCTGTTGCGGTTTTTGGTTACCTAGGGCCAAGTTACCGGGGTGGGGTTACCCCTGTCGCTACTCAATTTGTTTGTCGGCTATCAATTTAAATGGCTTTGTCACATTAATTAGTCATGGAGCCCAAATGAGTGATTGCGATCGATTGTTGCGGTTTGGGGGTTTGTAGTCTTTGAATCCGGCTTTAAGTTGAGCTTTGGATATGCGTGCAAAAGTCGAATTAATATACAATTGCTTATTAATGCCTTTTTGTTCACTTC